TGTGTTTCTCAACCCTTCCCTGTCCCTTCCCCAGTTTGAAGACTAACTTGATCTCCTGTGATCTCACACCCCCAATGTCATTTGTAGTGCCTATCAACTTCCATTTTTAAATTTGCCAATTTTAGTCTTTCAGTTAGCTGTGTAAATGTGGACAGGTCACTGTATCTCTCTGGTCCTAGTTTCCTCATCTGTAAAATGAGCATATTGGTGAGATCTAAGGTGTAAGGCCAGTTTCACCACTGATAACCAAGTACAGTGCCTGACATGTAAACTGAGGTGATTGCAGACACAGTCCCTGCCCTCATAGAGCTTATAGTGTAACAGGGGCAGAGATTATAGAATGAATAAATATGAAATCACTGCTTTGATACATGGCAACATTGATTGAATGGAGTAGATGCAATGGTGGAGGAAACTGGGGAGATGTAGGGATCTACTTAAGTTGTGTGACTACTCAAAGGATGAGAAGTAGCTAGCCACATAAACAGGAGGGGGAAGACTATTTGAGGTGTAGAGAACAGGATATTTTGAGACTCTGCAGTGGGAAACAACTTAATGTTAAGAAGCAACAGGAAGCCAGTGTGGCTGGAGTAAAATACATGAAGGGAAGATACGGATTTGAGACCTACTTAAGAGGCAAACATGATCAGCCAGAAAATGATCAGTAGCTCGGTGGCTCTAAGTGTTATGATATCAGCCAAGAATTTGGTTGTGTGACATTTCATAACTGCCTTAGTTCAGGCTCATGATGGCAGTAGAGAAGGTAGTTCTACATACAAGTTATTTCACTTCTCTTCTGCTGGTAGGTGGTGGGAAGGGCCTAATAGCCCACTGCCTTCTTCCTGGTGTTAAGTAGGAGCTGCCTGCAATATCTGGCAGGTGGAAATTTTAAGAGGGATAATGGATGCCCTTAAAAACGTTCCTAACTGAGCTTTGTGCAATGTGTTTTGGGAGTTCACTAGCAAAGGTCATGTGTTGACACAGGTGATGATACATGCAGAGACCCGTCGGGATGGGAGATTAACAGCTGGGTAGGGCAGGCAAACAACACAGCTCTCCCTTTTCACCGGAGGCTTTTATACACTGGGTAGCTCATAACTTAGTGCTCCTTCCTTCTCTCCCTGCCAACAGAAGGTACTTTGTGTTTAGTCTCTCCTGTATTCTGCCAGCACACTAATCTTCAGATGCAATTTTGATCATTTTTCCCTCCACCAGTGAGCCTGTAACATCTCCCCTTTGCTTGTTATATCACGGCCAGAATTCCCATTGAATGAGTCCTTCAAACAAATTGAAAACCTCAGATGGTCACCAGCCTTCTCTCCTTTGAGGCCCCAGCCATAGAATGCCCTCCAGTCGTGTTCATGTCTTCCAGACCTGAGCCCCCCGTCCTCAGTGAGCTTCTCCATCCTGTGCAGGCGACGCCGTCCTGTGTGAAACAGTGGGAAAAGCCAAAGGCCCTCAGCAATGCTCCCAGCCCCTCTGGATGATCACCAAGATTCTTTCCCGTTTCAGTACTGAATGTCCTTCTTCCTGTATTCATTCCCAGCAAGGGTGTTCTTTAATTGTCTTGTGCTTCTGTGCCTGTCAGTGTGTTTGACACCCTGACGCTAGGGTCTTAGTCCTGGACTTAGTCTGCAGATTTTGTTGACCAAGCCCAGGCTGGAGACTTACTGTGCTGCAGTGGATTTAGAGCCAAACTGATCAGGTTTGAATGACAGTGCTCTCACGTCCTAGGTCGTGAGCTTGGGAAGGTTACTTAGCCTTTCTGAGCCTGCCTTTTTACTTTTTTTTTTGGCTTCTCCATTGTTTTCCTCCTTTGCCAAGAGGGTGGTGACATGAAGGAAATGCAGTGTCTTAGCAGACATTCTGCTGGGAATTTTGGAACAAGCAATTGTAGGGACCACCCAGGTTACTATTTTCCTCATTATGAATTTATAATATAGTTTATAGAGTTGGAATGAGGATATAGTAATTCTGGCAGAAATGAGCCTGAGAAGGATTGTTGTTCTGGAGAAATGTGCTTGATCCTTAGAGATAAATGACCCATTCCATAGAAAATTACTTATTGGGCTCTCTCTTGTCTCTCTAGGTTTTTTTTTTCTAACAGTGTCTAACAGGTATGCAGTCCTAAGGTGTTCAGTGAACGGCTCAAACCTTCAAAAATCAATCTTACTAAAAAAGACATGATTTTGAACTGTCCCCCAAAATATATCTGTTTTTGGATAGCAATTCGGAGTTATAAGTTTTCCCAGTAATCCCATCATGTGAGTCATGATTATAATCTTCACCCTCTTCATCCTCTCCATATCCCCATGCTCTGTGCACCTGTGCACATGGGAAGCTGAGATCCACAGAGATGGTCTTCATATGGCCAGAGACACACCTCAAGTCTTTAAGAATTTTAGAGTCAGGCAGCTGTAGTTCAAATTCCAGCTCCTCTGCACTCCCTGCCCCACTCTGGGCAAGTGGTTTGACTTCTCTGAGCCTGTGTTCTCAACTGAAGTGACATCAGTTTTGTGACAGGTCAAGTCTAATGCTGGTTCATAGTAGGCAATGACTCTTGGTTTCCTTTCCCAGGAGTACCAGATTTCCAAGCCTTGCTTTATTTACCCAGTCAGTCTTGCTATAATATTTAAGTGTCTGGGTGTTATAATTAATAAGAAATACATGTGAGATATTGTTAAACACACAGCGTCTTATACTCAGAATTATCACAGAGCCAATCAAAATGAAAAACAGTATCTAAATTTCTCACATGAAGCAAGTCAGGTTAGTTTGAGGGTAGCAAAGATATTTGAGCTAGCATAAGAGACAAGACTCAGTAATTTCCAGGCTAGAGCAATTCTTCACCTACTTCTTCATTTTTTCACTTCTAAATCTCACTGTATCCTAATTATATATCTGTCTTTATCTCGCCAACACAGTAAGGGAGCAAAGCTTTCTGTGATAAAGGGCATCTTCTACCCTGGGGGAAATAATTGCCCATGTAATCCCTCCCTCCCTCACTCACTCTGTCTTAGTTAATATTATAGGTTGCAATTGTCAAATCCCATATGAAATTATGGAAACCTATTGGAAAGGACAGTTCTCAGAATGGCTGTCCGCCTGACTGGGCTTAGGAGTAGGCAGGCTTTGGGAACAGCTGGAACCAATAACTTGAATGACACCGGAATTCCTTTTTTCTCTTTTGTGCACTCCTGATTCACCCTTATCACATTATCTGGAGATGGGCCATTTCCTCCTTTCAGTCCATGTGTCAAAGGTTTCTAGTCCAAAATTTGAAAAAGAGACACAGTGGTATAGCTTGTATCATCTGCCCATCCTGAATCAGTCAGCTATGACTAGAAGGGCATAATGATGTAAAGACAAGATGGGCTCTTCAAGAATTACATGGATGAAGTGGGGTGAGGAGAGGTGACAGAGGATGGGTGCTGACACGGAGTTACAGAGATGACCACACACACATCCCGCCATCTAGGCAGTGGAATTTTAGCTGGGAATACAAAAACATTCCTGAACTGAGATTGCTTACGCCCAAGAGATGGAGATGAATTTGCAATTAAGTAAGTGAAGTGATATAGTTTCTGCGATAATGGATATATAGGTTGGATAGAAGTAAGGAACAGGCAGGCAGGCAAGATCCCATATAACTAGCTTCTGCTGGCTATGATGGGTACACAGCTGGGCACATTGCAGGCTTTCTAAAATTACTTGAAAATTAGTTGAATTATTGTTAGGTTTTCTAGGGACTAGGGAGAGCCTTGGCATTTTCTGAGTATAACTGTCATGTGCTTTTTCATTACAGGGCCTCTTCATCAGAATGCCTTTTTCAGTTATTCATTGAGTTCTTTACAAAGAAAGGATTAAGGAGGTTTGTTGAGTTTCAGCCACTTGTGTTTTAGAGAATTCAGATGATCTGAGTATTATTAGTTCCCTTTGCTGGCTCTCTAAACTTGCATTAAAGACCTTCAGTAAGACTGATTCATCAACTTGTTTTACAACTCAGGTGGCCTGGCACTAAAGTGCTTGTTAGTCACAAATCCTTCCTTGTAAGTTGAAGACATACTCTTGTTCCCTGTCATGGGCCCTGAGAGCCTTTGCTGTAGCCCCCCATCCTTTGCTATTGTAGTGACCTGATGCATATTCACATGTGGTCTCATATTTATTGTCCTGAGTTGCTCTCTTTCAGGCAGAGCAAACTGATTGTTTTTCCATCCTCTGTTACCCTGGGTCCTCTTTCTGCATCTTATCCCTCAAATCCACATCCCTGAGGCGAGGCTGCCACAGACTGAGCACAGTTTGCTTCAATCTCCTCATCTTGACCTCGTGTCACATCTGTAGTTTACCAAGACTTCTCATTGTCCATCATCTCTTCTCTCTACTCTTGCTTGCCCTTACTTTTATTTTTTAACTTAAAAACTTTTTATTTTGAGATAATTGTAGTTTCATGCACAATTATATGAATCAATATAGAGAGATACTCTATGCCCTTTACTAAGGCTCCCTCAGTCATTAACACCATCTTTCAGAGCTCTTGTACAGTATCATAACCAGGATACTGATGTTGATATAGTCCAGGCATAGAACAATTGCCCTAACACTTTATTTCATGGTCCTTATTATTCTTTTCCTTAATTACCTCTTACACTCTTCTCCCCTTGCTTTTTTCACTTACATGTTTGTTGTCCCAGAGATTTAACTGAGTTAAGGATCCCACAAAACTTATCTTCTCCTTATTGGTTGGCTTAAATTTGCATGTTGTCAGAACTCCTAGGGATAGCAACTTCCATTCTTCTTTAAATTATTTGTCTGGAATAAATATCACTAAGATGGCCCAAGGTGGCCTTGAAATTCATGTTAGGCTCTGGTCTGCTATGAGCTCTGCTTGCCTCAATTTTAGGCAGGTCACATGAGGATGAAGAATGTGTGGGGGCTGGTATGAGATACATCTTCTGAGACTTAAGAACCCTAATCAAAGCCCCAAACTTTTCCCCCCAAAGGGCAGTTCTGCACAGAGGATGTGGACGAGTGCCTGCTGCAGCCCAATGCCTGTCAGAATGGGGGCACCTGCACCAACCGTAATGGGGGCTATGGCTGCGTCTGTGTTAACGGCTGGAGTGGAGACGACTGCAGCGAGAACATAGATGACTGCGCCTTTGCCTCCTGCACTCTGGGCTCCACCTGCATTGACCGTGTGGCCTCCTTCTCTTGCATGTGCCCAGAAGGAAAGGCAGGTAAGACCAGCAAGAGGACAGCCTGGAGATCAGGGAAGGGGTTGATGAGCATTCAGGATTTCTGCCTTCTTCTTTTTCATGCCAATAATTGTGTCCGCTTAGTTACCATCTATAGGAACATGTCACTTAAGATTACTCTTCTGGAGATGTAATTGCTGGCCAAAGTGCCACTAAGTTAATCTTCTTAGGACCATTGGCTCTCCTCTCAACTCCTTGTACTACAGTTTTTCATCTCCTAAAATGAAAGTTGGTAACTATTGCCTTTAAGATCATAGGCTGAAAAGCACCTCAGAAATTAAGATTAGTTTCCCAGAAGTTATGAAAAAATTACTCTTAAATGGATTTAGGGCCTTCGTTTTAAGAAGAAATAATCCTTTTACTCAGGAGTCATTGGCAGGGATGAAGCATTTCAATATATTCTAACTCTCAATGCCTGTGGTAATATTCCTCTCAGGGAGGACTTTAACAGATGGCCAAGTTGACATTGCTCTATCTAGCCTCTCACTTTAACAGCTCCTAGTTTTAGGAGTAGAAAAATGAAGGGAGGAATGTGATAGAAGAAGACAGCTTAACTGAGAGAACTTTGTGCCCAACAGTTTTGAAATGTTCTCATAGTCATACCTTTCCAAAACCCCATTTCCAGCTTGTAGAAGCCTTAGTCACCTGTTCTTAAGCTAATTGCAGACTGGAAAATCCAGTTCCCATGTGAACTCTGCAGAACATGGGCCTAGTAATATCTTCAGAGTCCTGGGGGCATTTGAGTAAGGAATGCTGACATTATTAAAAGGCTGCCCTAGTAAAGGCTGATAATATTCTTCTGAGACTAGTGAAATGCTAGTGGCCCCATGAATATCAGGTAGTATGATTTTGGGAAAGTAGGTTGCTAAATAAAATACAGGATGCAGGCAAATTTGGGGCATATATTAAAACATTATTTGTTGTTTGTCTGAAATTCAAACTGAACTGGGCATCCTCTATTTTTTGTTTGTTTTTTGCTTTTTTTTATACAGGTTTTTTAAATTAAGGTATTATTGATAAACACTCTTATGAAGGTTTCACATGAAAAACAATGTGGTTACTACATTCACCCATATTATCGAGTTCCCCGCCCCCCCTCCAACTCCCTATTGCAGTCACTGTCCATCAGTGTAGTAAGTGGGCATCCTCTATTTTTATTAGCAAAATTTGTCAGCATTATCAGAAGGATATATCCACATTTTTCCTGTCCCCATTATCTAACCATCTCAGTTTAGACATGTAGGTAAATCTACCTTAAAAGATGTCCAGTTTGAGGGCTCAGGGTTGGAGCACCAGGGTGTCCTGCAGCTTGTCCTTAAGGTAGGCTCAGGAGAAGGGGAAGTTTCCTCTAAATCTCCATATTGGATTTTGGTGAGCCAATCATAAGATTTTCTCTCCTCTGTGAAAGACAGAACTCCCCCAGGTAAGCAACAATTTCTCTTTGTTCCTGCCCCTCCCTGTGACAGGTCTCTTATGTCACCTGGATGACGCATGCATCAGCAATCCATGCCACAAGGGGGCACTGTGTGACACCAACCCTCTGAACGGGCAGTACATTTGCACCTGCCCGCAAGGCTACAAAGGGGCTGACTGCACAGAAGATGTGGATGAGTGCGCCATGGGTGAGTACGTGGAGCCTTTCCTGTTCCTCGCGGGGTCTGCCGAGCTCAGCCAGCATTAAACTGAAGCATATTTTGCTCCAGGAGTGTGTTGCTCTAAACCTCAGATCTCTCCTTCTCCATGCCCACTGTTTACAACTGACCTTCCAGAGTTACCCTGTATTCTGTTTTCAGAACTGAGATGTGTGGAAGGTCTGTACTTGATTCTCAATATGAATCCCTATCTCAGTGACAGTTTGAACAAAAGCACAGCAGATATGCACAGGGGTGAGATTGCCCTAGTTGTTTGTTTTAAGGAATAAAGTAGGAAGTTGAGAACCAAGTTATGGAAGGCCAGACCCTAAGGCTGTAGCAGGCAACCCGCTTCTGTGCTTCTGTAGGCCACATTTGTGGAAACTCCATCAAGTGCTTTGATCTGAGGAACAGATGCTTGTTTCTTCCAGCCAATAGCAACCCTTGTGAGCATGCAGGAAAATGTGTGAACACAGACGGCGCCTTCCACTGCGAGTGTCTGAGGGGCTATGCGGGGCCTCGCTGTGAGATGGACATCAACGAGTGCCATTCAGACCCATGCCAGAATGATGCCACCTGTCTGGATAAGATCGGAGGCTTCACGTGTCTGTGCATGCCAGGTACATGGCCCATAAGCGTGTGGGCTCAGGACAGGAGGCACTGCCCTGCATTTCCCTTAGGTGGAGCACTCCGTGTAGTGTGGCAATTCCGTGGGCTCTGTCAGCACTTATTCCACGATGACGACAGGATTCCCAGACAAGGGGATCCTTAGGATCAGCAGTGCTAGGATTCCTAGAGCTAGGGGGACCAGATCAAACAAGCCTGAATGTCAACATCAGTTACACGTGAGAGAAAAATTCAGAAGTGATTGTTTTTCTGCAAGTATTCCTTAATTTCATGAAGGATTTTCCATAAGAATCTTTGCCATTAAATAGCTAGCTTTCCTGATGCCCTGATCTGTTACAAATACCATGCCATTCCATTTGTAAGAATTAATTTTACTCATAATTGTACAGGAATTTGCCATTTATCCATAGGGATGTACACATGCTTTGTTGTATTCTGGAGCACTTCTGAAAGACCATTTCTTGACTCCTCAGAGAGCACAGCTAAGTGCAGTTTACAGTGACCGCTGACACTGGCTGTTTTGCCTGACTGAGGATGTAGGCCACTCTTGCCTGGAGAGGCCCTCCTGACCTTGACTTGCATGATGAGAGCATCCCGACTCAGTTTCAGGAACCCTAGGGGGCTGGCACTGTCCTGAAAGTGAAGGTTGGACAATCAAAGAATGTGGGACAGTCTTTGCTGGTATACTAGGTCTTACCAGTGTCTTTAGAGGTAGCTTCTTTCATCTTTTCACAGGGACATGGGTATCTCACAGTGTCCCTCTGCCCACTGATACTTACAGTGACTCTCTCCCACTATGGCAGAGTCCCCTTGGCCCTCTGCAGAAATGGTCATGCTCATAGAGGATGGTAGTCATCTTTGCAAATTGTGCTTTCTTGGCTAGAATGCCTTTCTTTATGTCTTTCTGAACCACTTGTGTGATCTGTCTTGTTCAGGTTTCAAAGGTGTGCATTGTGAATTGGAGATAAATGAATGTCAGAGCAACCCATGTGTGAACAATGGGCAGTGCGTGGATAAAGTCAATCGCTTCCAGTGTCTGTGTCCGCCTGGTAAGTGCCCACCACCTGCCTGTTTTATTTAAAAGCACAAAGCTAACTGACCACAGGGAAGGGAGGAGGGAGAGAATGTGTGTGGGATGTACATGAGGAAGTCATTAAACTGAGCACTTCGGGATAGGAGTGTGTGTGTACAGAAATGGGGTATTTGTCTCAACTAGTATATGTGATCCTTTGTGGCCAGAAGTCCAAGTCTACTCTGAATGGCCCATGACCTTTTGTCTATGTGTGTATTTCAGAAAGTTCATACCTCATAGAAGCCTTAGTTATAGGCTATTCAGAGTTTTATTTTTTCCCATGGGTCATATTCTTGAAGCTCCTCTGTGAGATTATTATTTTTAGACATTTTACCCATGGGTCTAGAAACAGACAACACAAATTCATTTTTCCAAAGAACACCCTGTTTCTCGTTTTGCTTCCCAAATGCTACTGTTGAAGACAATGCCAGAATTTCTGCCATAGCCTGTAGTCTCTTACTGTTTCTTCAGAGAGAAGGTACCAATTACTCTGAAGCTACCCTTGCTTGTTTGAGGGCTCCACCTATAATCATTCAGTCCTTTAACTGGAAGTGAAATCTGTGCTGGGAAGAAACAGGGGTGTAGACATACCACAGTTAGTTGCCTCTGATGCTCTGAGCTTCACCCAGTTGTCCCTGTTGCCTGGTGGGGGGAATCATTTTACATTTGCTGACCCATTGGTATAAACTGTGCCAGTAACAGCCCAACACTTGTTGGATATCATTCTCATAGTAAAGAAAGACATAGGATAATCCTTTGACTTGTGTCATCACTGTGCCCTTTGAAGGTTTTACTGGGCCAGTTTGCCAGATTGATATTGATGACTGTTCCAGTACTCCATGTCTCAATGGGGCGAAGTGTATTGATCACCCAAATGGCTATGAATGCCAGTGTGCCACAGGTAAGATTTCTCTCACTTTTATTCCCCTATTAGGTCCATTTGGAACAAAATAGGAGACTGTCCTCTTCCAGATGCCCCATCAGGCCAGTCCTAACAGGGGCTTCTCTGTGTTTAGAGAGAGCTTCTTCCGGCACATTTTTCTGCTGCTCCCTCTCTTTCCTTCTGCAACACCTGCCTCCTTCTCCACCACTATTGTGGCCTGGACATTTCCATTTGGTGTCCATGTCTTTTGGGGACAGATTTTGGCAGTGGTGAGTTTCCAGCTGGCCTGACTGACTCCTTCGGGAAAGGGAGGAATTCCAGTTGAAAGCTATTTTTCACTGGGGCTTCTCAGCAGGAGGCCTGTCTCTGTATTTCTTGAGGCAAGTGATTAAACAAGGCCCAGAAGTCTGTCGGTGATTATGTATGTGTATGTGTACAGAAATGGGGAATTTGTCTCAACTAGTATATGTAATCCTTGGTGGCCACAAGTCCAAGTCTACTCTGAATGGCCCTACTCTGAATGCATAGAAGGCTTCTCATGTGATGAAGGTCATTTATATATCTGAACAGATGGAGAGAGAGCTCTGTCTAGGAGACTTAGGATCCTCCTTCCTGACTTTTACTAGAATCAAAAAGAATCTGGTTACAAATATTCTGCATTTCTAATCTGTGGCCACATTTCTCATTTGGGAGTGGATTTGAATAAGCCAGATGTCCCTTATTACACATTTAGTTTTGTACAGTCCAATATTATAGAGAAGAACTAGAAATTATTAGAGAAGGTGATTTCCCAATTTCTTTTTTATCTTACTGCTTAAGAGAGAAAGAAGTTATGAATATGAGTCAAGACATTTTTCTTATTTTAAAAAATGGATTCTTAAAGGATTTTAAACATCATAAGCATGATTTCTTTCTGATTCCAAAAAGCAAGCTAAATCATAAAATAAACACAGAGAATTACTACTTCTGTAGTATTGGAATGTTACCACTTATTGGGCTTATTTAGGTTAGGCCCTGTCCAGTGAACTACCTAACTTCCTTCTCTTTTCATGAACTGCTGTCTCTGTTTGGAGAAGTTCCAGATTTTTTCCTCCTCTGGCCATATTATGTTCATGGAGAATAACCTTCACTGGAGGAACTTTAAAAACCTTGAATTCATGTCAAAAAGGGAGGAAAACCCTACTGGAGCCTTTTAAAAGAGATTTAATGTTGAGTGAAGAAGCTTTTATTTGTCCATTTTTCTTATAATTGCTCATAACTTGTTCATTCATGTTATTCAACAAGTATTTATTAAAAACTTAGTATGTAAGCATAGTACTCTGGCAGGGGCTAAGAAGAATAAAGAAAAGTTCTCTGTCCTTTTAAGTTCAGAATTGGGAAGATAAGGTACGTGAAGCCAAGGTACCTGTATGTTGGGTTTGGGTGGAAATGAATATAGATGTAAACACAGAAAGGCAAGAGACTGAGAGCTGTTCTCCACTGAAGCCCAATGTGAGATGAAGGTGCAGTTAAAGCATCTCTGCAGTGAAACCATTGGTAATTTAGAAAGAGGTATTTGAATTCTACAAATTTGATTTGAAAAACTATTTTAAACACAACTTCCTAGGGCTTGCCCTGTAAAGCAATGCAAACAGTAAGTTTTTACTGCTCATTGCCTGCAGTATGAATTGTTTCAAGACATAACATGTGTAGGGTAAGTGGATAGGTCTGCATTTAGTTTCTGATGTGTAGTAGACACCTTGGTTTTGAAGCCTCCTTGGTAAAATTCCTTCCAAGGATTCACTGGTGTGTTATGTGAGGAGAACATCGACAATTGTGACCCGGATCCTTGCCACCATGGCCAGTGTCAGGATGGGATTGATTCCTACACCTGCATCTGCAATCCTGGGTACATGGGTGCCATCTGCAGTGACCAGATAGATGAATGTTACAGCAGCCCTTGCTTGAATGACGGTCGCTGCATTGACCTGGTAAATGGCTACCAGTGCAACTGCCAGCCAGGCACGTCAGGTAAGCCTGTTGTGTTTATGTTTCCTATGGGGTTTTCACTGTTTCTCAAAAACCATTTACACAGATGTCTCAGGCTTTCTTGACATATGTGTAGACACCTGAGAAATTGTCCTGATTCTGAGAAGCACAGCCAGAAACATCTCAGAGATAATAGCTTATAAAGCTGATGATTCTGTGTATATGTTTTTGTTAGAAGCCACTTTAGAATATTGCAATTATTATCTAAGATTGAAAACCCTCCTGCTTTTGTGGCTTGCTTCAATCGTCTTCTTTTCTTTAACCTCCACCTAGCTCATATTAATGAAGTTGGTCCTTCCCCTCTCCTTCCTCCATCCCTCTTGTCCTTTCAATTGTTTTTTCTCCATTTCAGAGTCCGGTATCTTTAATGTGACACTTTTCTCCTGCCCTCTGTCTCTGGTAGGCTTTGGGTTTTTTGGGAGATCCTAAGGGAAAGGAGAGACTTTGCAGCCTGCCCCAGCCATTGTAAATTAGAAAACATCTCAGAGATAATAGCTTATAAAGCTGATGATTCTGTGTATATGTTTTTGTTAGAAGCCACTTTAGAATATTGCAATTATTATCTAAGATTGAAAACCCTCCTGCTTTTGTGGCTTGCTTCAATCGTCTTCTTTTCTTTAACCTCCACCTAGCTCATATTAATGAAGTTGGTCCTTCCCCTCTCCTTCCTCCATCCCTCTTGTCCTTTCAATTGTTTTTTCTCCATTTCAGAGTCCGGTATCTTTAATGTGACACTTTTCTCCTGCCCTCTGTCTCTGGTAGGCTTTGGGTTTTTTGGGAGATCCTAAGGGAAAGGAGAGACTTTGCAGCCTGCCCCAGCCATTGTAAATTAGAATGTAGAGCTGCCATTTACCATACTGAGTTTGCTGCTGATTCCTGCCCAGTTGAATGACCGCTTATTAGTTGTGAGGGCATGCTCCTCCTTGCCGAGGGAATGTTGAATGATTTTCTCAGGCAGCAGCATTTCACAGGTTTCACTAGAGTCTATTTTACTTATTTGAGGTATAATTATAGTCACAACTGTGGTTAATGGACAGAGAAGTACTATGTCTCAGATCAAAGGAAAATGTATTAGTGAAGATTAACTAGTATGTGCCTTTGTTAGAAGGGAGCCTGCCAATACAAGAGAGTGATTTATTGAGGTCTCATTCTCGATTTAAGGAAAATGGCCTATGTAGGGGGCAGAGGTGGGGGAGGTAGTCAGATGGCCTCATTTTATTTTGTTATTTCCAAATCTATTTCTTCAAACTTGTCAAAGGCCCTGGTCTTCCTCCAAGACCTCGTACATGCCAAGTTTGAAAACAAAGTCCTTTTTGAGTTGCTCAAGCATACAAAAAACATCCCATGCCTTCAGAGTTGAAAATGCCTCCCTCCTCCCCACATTTAGATAACTCACTAAAAGAGCTGAATAGATCTTTGTGAGACCTTCCAAAAGCAATTTGCTTCCGGGCTGGTCCCCACACATGAGAAATTGCAGTGCAAAAAGAAATTTGAGAGATTTACAAGCAATTGAATGGATGTCTTTAGAATGGCGGGCTGTTTTAGGCTTTGCTATCATTACCATTATAACAAGTGTACTGGAAATCTGGGTGAGTGGTGGGTTAGCAAGCACATTGTTTTCCCTGGGATTATATCTTTATGCTAGGATGTGTCAGGTGTGTTCCCTGGGGAGGACGGGGAAGGTGGGGTGTAAGTAGCTGTCACCGAGTAGGCAAGAATTGGAGCTGAGCAGCATGCAAGCAGCACAGAGAAGGCAGCCGCAGAATCTCTCAGCAAACCACCACATGCATTCTTGTGCCTGTTTGGAGAATGGAAGCAAAGAGATGCAGGTGACATAAAGAAATCTTGGTCTGTGATGGTGGAGAAAGACCTGGCATGTACCAGAGGCCTGGGGGAAAGGATTCATTCAGTTAATCGTTATGATAGACTCTCACATTCTAGAATAAGAATCCACGACCCATTCATAATACGGTTCTGAATTGGTAGGTTGGGATTTGGAGAATGTGTAGGCAGAAGGATACTTTATACCCGCTGTTTATAATTGTGGTTTCTCACTCACTGTGTACTTAAGGGGAGATATACTACCCAGAATCACTCTCGATGTTGTCTTTCTCCCGTGGTCCTGTGGTGGGAGACTATCTTCAGTAAGCCTTCTTGGATTCCAAGTCACAGATCCCGACCTGACTAGCTTAAGGAATCATAAACAAACAAGCAAACAACAACTGCAAAACAAAGAGAATTTAGTGAAGCACACAGTCACATCTTAGGGATTCCAAGACAGAACTGATCCATAAGGCTTAGGGGAAATAACCAGGAAGCAGGGCAGTTTGCACACAGTTCATGTCCCAACGTTCCGATGAGAGAATCTCATTGGCCTGGCAAGGGTGGGTATCTGGCTGTTTCTGCTCCTATGAAACATGGCCTTGGGAGTGGAGTCGCTCTGGACCACCATGGCTTGCTGTGGCCTGCCTTGGTTGATTGTGGATAAATGGGCGTTGTCAACCCAGGGTTACACACATCTCCTAAAGGCATCCATTTGTATACAAGGAATGTGGAATCCTTGCCTCATTTGTGGCTAGTGAGCTAGTAGAACCTTATTAGCCACAGAGTGACCAGTGTTATGTGAATAGCACAGAATCCAGACAGCCTGGTTCACATCCTAGCTGTGGTGCTGTAATTGTGCAAGTCCATGATAAAATGGGTATAGCAACTTGATTTGGTGGTTGAGTGAGAAGATTAGAGAAGTGTGAGTGAATCTTTACGGCATTTTGTCATGGAATTTTCATTTAATTTACATCCTTATTACTAGGCTTCATTTTGAGACTTTGGAAAGTACCAAGGTGTTTTTCTAAGATACCCCCAGAAGCATCATTAAATTCATGTTAAATAAATAATGAAGCATCATGAGGTTTTTACAAAGTAATATTAATAATAATGGTTGGTACAGCCCTACTGTTTAGTTACCCATATCTACAATTAAGTTTTTCTTAACAACCAAACTCTGCCAATCATCTGGGGAATAGACTGGGAGGAAGGCAGCATACTGCAGGAAGTTATCAGACCCTTTAAGATCTATCCTGTACTTAGCCTGCAAGGGTAAGTCAGTTTAAAGCTTACAAGTTCCTAAACTCTAATATTCATGAAAGCTTAAATTTTATCTTTGGAACACAGTACTGCCATTTGTTTTCCTTGAAATGACAGGTTCATTTCTTTCATATAATGTTTGCTAAATACTTACATCTGAATAGCCCTGGTCTGTCTTTCAGTTGTTCTTTCCATTAAAGTGGGATTCTGTGAAAAAGGCAACTGTTTCAGTTCAAAACTCAGACAACAGCACAACTGCTTTTCCTGGAGATGGTTGTGTGCTTTGGCATGCCATGGAATCACTTTATGTGGCCTTCCCATGTCTTCACGTGAACAGTGGTTGTATACTCACGGGTCAAGCTACAGTTAAAATATAAAGTTAATCTTGACTGCTTCACCAAAGTGATTCTTAAGTGAAATTATCTTTTTGTTTAGTTTTCTTTTAACTTTGAGTGCATGGAGGGGAAAGATACAGTGACCAGACATCCTTATTACTAGGCTTCATTTTGAGACTTTGGAAAGTACCAAGGTGTTTTTCTAAGATACCCCCAGAAGCATCATTAAATTCATGTTAAATAAATAATGAAGCATCATGAGGTTTTTACAAAGTAATATTAATAATAATGGTTGGTACAGCCCTACTGTTTAGTTACCCATATCTACAATTAAGTTTTTCTTAACAACCAAACTCTGCCAATCATCTGGGGAATAGACTGGGAGGAAGGCAGCATACTGCAGGAAGTTATCAGACCCTTTAAGATCTATCCTGTACTTAGCCTGCAAGGGTAAGTCAGTTTAAAGCTTACAAGTTCCTAAACTCTAATATTCATGAAAGCTTAAATTTTATCTTTGGAACACAGTACTGCCATTTGTTTTCCTTGAAATGACAGGTTCATTTCTTTCATATAATGTTTGCTAAATACTTACATCTGAATAGCCCTGGTCTGTCTTTCAGTTGTTCTTTCCATTAAAGTGGGATTCTGTGAAAAAGGCAACTGTTTCAGTTCAAAACTCAGACAACAGCACAACTGCTTTTCCTGGAGATGGTTGTGTGCTTTGGCATGCCATGGAATCACTTTATGTGGCCTTCCCATGTCTTCACGTGAACAGTGGTTGTATACTCACGGGTCAAGCTACAGTTAAAATATAAAGTTAATCTTGACTGCTTCACCAAAGTGATTCTTAAGTGAAATTATCTTTTTGTTTAGTTTTCTTTTAACTTTGAGTGCATGGAGGGGAAAGATACAGTGACCAGTAGTACATTTTAGTGCCACTGCCTTGAATCCTGCTTAAGGGTCAGCATTCCTACCCAATTTCTCTTGCAAATGAGTGCAAATGCCAACATGATGAAAAAAGCAAATAGTGGCTTCGTATGATTAATGCACTGATTTTGCCCCCACGGTCCCCCTGGCAGTGTCTGGAGGACTGCGCTCTGAGAACTGCTGCTACTTACCACTATCCTGGGGTGGCTGGATACTCTTTAGGTTTTTGAAAACCTAGCATCACAAGCAGAGATCATGGGCCTCCTTGGGGATAATATTGCATGTTTTTTCCTTCCTTTCATCTTTGCAGGTGTTAATTGCGAAATCAATTTTGATGACTGTGCAAGTAACCCTTGTACCCATGGAGCCTGCATGGATGGCATTAATCGTTACAGTTGTGTCTGCTCACCAGGATTCACAGGTGATGCTCTTTTTGTTGGGAGGTCCCTCCTACAGCCCCATCACTTTGGGAAAAGGGCATCTAAAGGAAAATTATGTTCCAAATGTTTCTTATTTCATTTTCTCTTGGAAGGTTAGAAGTTTTTTTTGTGCTTCTCTAGCCCAGTTTTATGCATACATGCCTTTCCTAAACTGTAACATGAAATTTTTCATTAATTAGTGCTTTTAGGCCATGTGTTTATAGCTACCTGAAAAGAATTTCTAGTCAGACGATACCATGAGTTTCTGTCCCTTTGCTTGAGTTATACAACTTCCAAAGCCACCTTTAGTTTTCTAGACTTAATAATGAGTGCCTCCTTTAAAGGTATAAGCAAGGTAAAATTCTATGCAAACACTAAATGCTTTTTTCTGAGTACTTCCTCTTATGGAAGCTTGTTGGATGAGCCAGAACTTGGGAAGACCAACCTAATTTGGCTAGCACAAATTATGTTTTCTCCCAAAGGGGAAGAAAATAGTAAAATTGGGTATAATTCTTAAATTGTAAACAGCTAAAACATTACACACACATGTGTGTAAACACACACAAACTCACACACCTTTCTTCTCTTTCTTGGTGTTAGTAAGATTACCTTTATCTTTTATTCTTCTAATCAAAAAGTGCTAGAGGCTACTGAGGAACTCTGAGGCCCCTTACTGACACACCTGGTTGGTAATGGAGCCATCAGAGGGCATATGCTGTGCCTGTCCTTTTCTTTGTAAACAGTGCCACACACAAGCAGGCACTTACATAATGATGCTACCATTTAATAAATGCCATTTGGTCATTTGCAACCAATGTGAGAAACTTCTATGAGAGCTTTTTAAACTATGCTGTCAAAAGGCAGTTGGAGCCAAGTGAAGTGAATGTCTGCCTCTTGCCTGCTGGGAACTTATTTTCCTCTGTATTTCACAATCCTTTTTCCTACTTTGTATGATTGTGTACATTAGAGAGGAATGTTTGTGGCCCACATGGGTCACCATGACCACTTAGTAGAAAATCACCCAGAAGACAGGTGTAATGGAAGCTCTCCTATCTCATGCCCAGCACTGCTGGTGGTAGCCAGATATACTTTGGTGTCCTGAAACTTGTTATTCCAAGATTTTTAAATGACAATGTTTTCTCCCAAAGGGGAAGAAAATAGTAAAATTGGGTATAATTCTTAAATTGTAAACAGCTAAAACATTACACACACATGTGTGTAAACACACACAAACTCACACACCTTTCTTCTCTTTCTTGGTGTTAGTAAGATTACCTTTATCTTTTATTCTTCTAATCAAAAAGTGCTAGAGGCTACTGAGGAACTCTGAGGCCCCTTACTGACACACCTGGTTGGTAATGGAGCCATCAGAGGGCATATGCTGTGCCTGTCCTTTTCTTTGTAAACAGTGCCACACACAAGCAGGCACTTACATAATGATGCTACCATTTAATAAATGCCATTTGGTCATTTGCAACCAATGTGAGAAACTTCTATGAGAGCTTTTTAAACTATGCTGTCAAAAGGCAGTTGGAGCCAAGTGAAGTGAATGTCTGCCTCTTGCCTGCTGGGAACTTATTTTCCTCTGTATTTCACAATCCTTTTTCCTACTTTGTATGATTGTGTACATTAGAGAGGAATGTTTGTGGCCCACATGGGTCACCATGACCACTTAGTAGAAAATCACCCAGAAGACAGGTGTAATGGAAGCTCTCCTATCTCATGCCCAGCACTGCTGGTGGTAGCCAGATATACTTTGGTGTCCTGAAACTTGTTATTCCAAGATTTTTAAATGACAGCCAACCGAATACACAAAAATTCCTGCTAGATAGGATAATAGGTGCATTTTTCTTAAAGAGGTAATAAATCTCATGCTTAATCAATAAATGCTTAATCTCATTTGTCAGTGCTATTATCATTCCTGTGGTATCAATGAGAAACCCAGAGCTTAGACAAGGTAAGTACCGGTGCACTACGTTCAGCAGTCTAGCCCAGGCAGCCCTACCTCTAGGGCCCTGCCCATGCCCACTTCACTGGACAGCCGAAGGAGGCGCCTGCTATGGTTTCTTTTTAGATATGTAAGCCTTAGACTGGACTTATGTTTTTTTGGAAATGCCATTGAATCATATTCACTTTCTTTTTAACATTCAGCAAACCAGGAAGGTTAAGGAGGGAGGACGTAGGCTAAAAATATTCTAAAATAAACTTAAGGTGTAGCATACATAACTACATAACTGGGTGGTACCCTGTTTCTGGAACTGCTTTCTTTCTTTGTCTGTTTTTTTTTTGTAAATCAGCTGCTGAAAGGACAAGACAACTGTGGTATATATTCATGAGCTGTAAATCTAAGGCGTTTTATTTTTTCCTTTGTTTTATTTTAATACTACTACATTTTTTCTTTTTACAATTTTTATAACAGCTTTGACAGATTTAAGGGAGTTTTTACTTTTTTTCTGTTCTCAGACCTCTTTATACCTACTGATTGAATGGGAAAAATAAATCATATGTTTCATCTATAAGGTATTTTTCAGGTTTACAGACTACTTTTTCAGTTTCACCTTCATATTCATTTTTTATGACTTCTCATAACAGGCCATAAAGGTAGATAGGTTGGATAAGAAACCAAAAGCCCAGGCAGCAAAAACTGAAATAAATAAGTGGGACTACATTAAATCAAAGTGCTTCTGCACAGCAAAGGAAACAAAGTTGAAAAGGTAACCTACATACAGATGGAGAAAATATTTGCAAGCAATATTTCTGCTAAGCAATTAATATCCAAATAGGTCAAGAACTCATACACCTCAATGGCAAAGAAGCAAATCATCTGATTAAAAAAGGGGCAAAGGACCAGAGAAAAAAATTTCAGCTATGTATGGTGATGGATACTAACTAGACTTTTTATGGTGATCATTTTGCAATATATACAAATGTTAAATAGTTATGTTGTACACAGGAAACTAATATGTTATATGTCAATTATACTCGACTTATAAAAGACAGATTAGGCAGCAGTAGCTAAACACAATATTAGAAAATATTATTAGAAAATTCCCAATATTTCAAGTAGACAATACTGAAAGTATTCACTGTAATGCTCAGAGGTACATGATTTAATGAGACTTGATTGTATTTTTAAGGTATAAATCATCATTTACAGAAGTTTTGAAAGCTTCGCAATCTACCAAACCCTAGTGGTTTTCAAATAACATGGAAAGGCCAACCATGAGTAACAAATCTACCGGTACAGTTAATCCTTGTGAAACTTACACAATGTCATATGTCAACTACATTTCAACAAAAAAACTAACAAAACAAAAACAAAAAAAGTAGATAGGGAAGTTTTATTATCCTCATTTAACAAAAAAGGCAACTGAGAGAGAGAGCTTGAGGTGTCCAAGGCCTGAACCTGTGAGTGGTGCAGTGAGGGCTTTGGGTCCCCGAAGGCAGGCTTCCCCCAGTCACCTCGCTAGCCAGTGTCTGAAACAGCGTCTAGCCCAGAGGAAACACTCAGTAAATGTTGCTGAATGAATGTCTAGAACTCAAATGTGGTACTTCCGACATCTAACTCGAGGCTCTGGAGTCTGGACTAGCCTTAACTATTTGTTAAATAGTTACAAGGTAAGGAACACTGGCTAACTTCCCGTGCAGTAGTTCCTGAGCTAAACAAGGTACATAGCCTTGTGCTGGGCGTTTCTGATGCTGGGCGGTAACTCCTTAAAAGTAGGACCTTGATTGTGAGGCAGCTGTCAGCCCACATGGTAGGCTGAACAAGGAGGCACTTAACCCTCTGGGCTAAAGTGGCTTGAAAATTGATTCTGTAAAGAGTTTTGAAAGCGAATAAAGAAAACAAGAGGAGTGGCTTCTGAGAAGATGCTTCCAAAAAAAAGGACAGAAAATGAAGGCTTTTTCCTCTTATCCTTCCCTGAATAGCAAGCTGAGAACAGCTGTGTAGTTGAAGAGTTCTGGCTCATATTGTAGTGCCAGTGGCAACATCTAACAAAATTAGAGGTTGATGCTAAAGAAATAGTATTTTTAAATAAGCTATTAATAAAACACTGAAGAGGAAAACAGCAACCACTATCACATTATGGGTCTTTACCAGGAGAGCCACCAGTGATGGTTTAGAGAGCAACAGAGGGTGAAAAAATGTTAATTCCCATGTTTTAAAGGGGTGTGTATCTATTTTATTTGGAATTTCCTCTTCTAAATGAAGGGTTACTCTTTCTTAAATAAAAGTGCAGGTTTTTATCTGAATCAGAAAATTGTACTCTTTGAAATTTGTGAATTCCTTCATAGCAGTTGCTTATTGCCATTCATGTGCAACCTTATGGTTATTTCAAAATTTTATATCATTTTGGAATACATAATTCTCAATTATTCAAAATTTAACAAAGCAAAACCCATGTAACTGGCACATTTTACTTTATTCAGCTTAAAGTAATAAATGTCAAGGTTATGGCAGACATCCTTCCAAAGGGCTGTCTTGGGTATGTTTTAGAAAAAGAACATAATTCACTTCAGTTTGTATATCCTGAGCATTTACATCCTTGTATAATGATAAACTTGATAAACACTTATTAATGATAATAATTGTCTACATCAGAGTTTCTCAAAATGTGGTATTTGAACCATCTGTATTATTTTAAATGTTTGCTGGACCCCATCCATTACAATCCATGGAAATGGGGCCCAAGAATCTCCTTTATAATACATACTTTAAGCAACTCTTTTGCATATTAAAGCTTAAGAACCACTGGACTAGGTTGAGAAGTGCTGAATTGTTTTCTCAATTATCAGAGGACAATAATATTATACTTTGAATACTCTTCTTCCTGAGACAAAAAATGGATTAATGCAAGTCTAAGAATGGAAACAAAGTGGTTTTTCTTTTTAAACAGTTTAATAATTAAACTAAAATCCATTCATTAAGCATTCCAGGTAAGTGTATCATATGTAGAAATGTAAGAGGTTGACTAACTAAATAACTAAAAATTGACTGCAGTAAACTAGCTGAACACAGTGAAAAGCAAAGCTTCTTTGAAGAGTACTCAGAACAGCATTGAGAGGAGCAGCCAGCTTTGGTAATATTGTGTTTTCTTTTTGAATCCTTGTGAAATTTCCCCATTTCTAAGATGAAGTAAAGAAGAAATATATATATATATCAAAACACTGTAACACCATTCCAGCATTTTGTTATCTTTTCTTCATTATTGAAAGTCAATGCTGTTTGCTCCTTCCTCTCATGGCCCTAAATGCTATTGGATGTCTTATTTCTTAAATCTTGACATTTTGTGATGAAGGTATCTCATAGCCTGAGGAGAGGTGTCAACACAGTATATCTCATAGTTCTGTGTCTGTTCCCAAAGTATATTGAACTTGACCAAAATGGTCTCCCTTCTCCACAGGGCAGAGATGTAACATTGACATTGATGAGTGTGCCTCCAATCCCTGTCGCAAGGGTGCAACATGCATCAATGATGTGAATGGTTTCCGATGTATATGCCCTGAGGGGCCCCATCACCCCAGCTGCTACTCACAGGTGAATGAGTGCCTGAGCAATCCCTGCGTCCATGGAAACTGTTCTGGGGGTCTTAATGGGTGAGTAGCTGCCACATACCAATAGTTTCTTATTGACTTGTGTCCAGTCAGTTGGGTTTTAGTACTGGCCGTACCCTGTAGAAGTCAGGGACTTGAGCTAAGACTTGGTTAAGATTTTGGTAGTTTGCATCATAGTTTTCCAAAACACCATTTCTTCCCTTCCTTCTATAACTAAGCAGCTGAAAAATAGGGAGGAATGTCTCCCTCATGTGGATAGTCAGCACATGGAGGGACCCAGGGTTATTTTATGAGTCCTTGGCCATTGTGCTCTTATTATTCATTGCATGATTGAGTTCTGAGGGGTACCTTATTTGATTCCACCTCCCACCCCCACTTAAAAAAGCTCAACTCTGTTCTATCACAGTACCAGGGTGTACTGCTGAAGAGTTGGTCTCAGCTAACTTTAGATGTGGCCCCGATGAAATAGTCACAGTTTGTAAGCCCCTCAGAGTTTTGTGATGTGTTGGCAAATAATTTTCTAGAATCATAGTGTGACATTAGGTCCCATGAGATAGTCCAATACTCTTCTTATGCTTCCCAGAAGACAGGGTTCTGGGCATTGCTATTTGCTATACTTACAACAGGTAAAAGAATGGAGAGTGCATTTAGAGACAAATGGGAAATCAAGTTCCTTCCAAGATGAATCACCTCAGTATTCCTCCATCAGAGTATGGCAGGCTGCAGAGCATTCTAACTCATCTCCATTTTTGCTAAGGATCTCCAGCAAAGAGGCTATCATCTCCTAATAACACACACTAGGTGCTAATGATGTTCAAATTGTGAATAATGTACACATTTTTCAAATACATTTTTTTTTTTGTTCCATTTCTCGCTCAGTACCCTAAGTGCTTTCTGGGGCAGGGTTTCAGATCATAACAAAGCATGTCTCAGAAGTCAGACATTCCAGGACCTTTTCAGAGTGGCTTAGGGTCTCTGATACTAACCTGCTTCCTGGGAGTCTATTTTGTACCAGAAACAATGGATCCAATGGTTTGCTTTACTTTAGCTTTATATATAAGAAACGAACTGTGCAGATTTATCCATGTTAATGTGTCTTTCAGATTGGCACAATATGTTGTACCAACCACTGTTTACATATGAAGGCTCATTACAATTAATTAATTTCTCTAGTATCTCTGTGAGGCAGGGACGCACCATTAAGGTTTGTTTACTGCTACTCCAGATGGGCCCATGTGATTTACACCATGTCCATGGTCATCCAAGTATAGGTCTGTGGAAGAGTAGAAATGAGATTAGTTTACCTATGAGCTCTCTGTCCCTCATTTTGTCACCAAGTTCTGTATTTCAGCTATGACTCAATTGTACATTCATCCCCCACAGTAAAGAATCCTATTTCTTTCAGATACAAGTGCCTCTGTGATGCAGGCTGGGTTGGCATCAACTGTGAAGTGGACAAAAATGAATGTCTTTCTAACCCATGCCAGAATGGAGGGACCTGTGACAATCTGGTGGATGGGTACAGGTGTTCTTGCAAGAAGGGCTTTAAAGGTAAAAACAAAAGTGCATATTTCTATCTCCCCTCTCTTGTCTTTTCATGGTTGTGTACTGCATGCCTCTCTTCTTTTCCCTTCCTTTTTCTGGTTCATTCATAGCAAACATGATTTGAACACTTAATATTTATAAGGCACTTGGAGGATAAAAGTATAAATTGATATAGATCGTACCTTCAGCCTAGCAGAGAGGTGAGCTAGTAAAACAGTGCTATTTAAGGTGAGCAGCTAGCATTCCACTTATACAACTTTGGACAGGTTAAAGGTAAGCTTCTTGGTGCAGGTTTGATTCTTTGGTAATTCAAGAGGTACTGGTGGTAGAATGAAAATATTGTCTTAGTGTAATTATGATAGCAATAGTATGGCAGGTTCCATGTGTTCAAAACTCTTCCAGCAAATTCTCTCACACATTGAGATGTTCTTAGGTACATAGTCAGCTTTGGATTTCTGGAAAGATGCATAATAGTGGATATTGAGTAAAATCATTTTTGAGTTGTTAGTGTTTTTTTTCTACCATCAGTTTTCTCTTAGAAACTCATGAGAGAGAAATCTGTGGGTAAGTGATTTATATTTGTACTCCTCTATCCACTTAGTCATTGATTTCCCCACTCAAAAATTATTCCAGGCTACTGTGATACAGCAGTATGTCTTGGTCACTTTACTTGCTTATTTGAAAAGTTTCTGAGACTGTATTCTGGTCATTAATTTTCTGGTAGATTATATTACATTTGCAAAGAAACTTATAGATTTAAAAGCACTTTCATTTCCTTGCCTCATTGAGACTTGCTGATGAACGAAGAAAATCAAAATTAAAATATAACATCCAAAGTTGTATGGCTATTGAGTAGCAGAGTACAATTGAACCCAGACCTCTGTATTAAGACTATCGATTTCTTTTTTGCAGTGCTGTAGTTCCTCTGCTTTAGGGCTCTGTGCCAGGCCCAGTGAAGATGCAGAGGTGTGTAATATGTGGGTACTGTTCTGTCCCATTTAATCCTTCCTCACTTTTCTCCTCTTCTTAGTGGGAGGAGATTGTATGACTTGGATCAGGGTAAAACAGCTTTGTGATTTCAGGAAGGACTACCACGTCCGTGCTAGGGACTATGCATATGAATGTATGGGCATAAATCAGAGACTTTGATTAATAAAAAATGTTATCATTGATAACTCATACCCACTTTAAAAGCTCTGGCTAGGTACTTTTCATATAGAGAGCTTATATTTAGATAAGCAACATATTTTTACCCTTGATGAACTTCTTGGTTTATTAATGAGAAATTACTTGTATTTGGAGGTACATTAAACTTTCAGGCTATTCGAATATACTGCTCTTGCATTTATCTTTTTGACTTACTGAGCACTGTCTTTTACTGACTGACCATATTTCAGGGACTTGTCACTGACATGAGTGAACAGGGGTCCCAGTGGCCTGAAGAAAATGCAATTTCTGAAATGTTAAATGTTTACCCCTGAGAGCATTGCTAACAGAAGTTTTCACTGTGTTTGGTTTTTCCTCTTTGCTGTCTATAGGCTACAACTGTCAGGTGAATATTGATGAATGTGCTTCAAATCCGTGTCTGAACCAAGGAACCTGCTTTGATGATATAAGTGGCTACACCTGCCACTGTGTGCTGCCGCACACAGGTGAGCCCTGCATTCGGGGCCAGGCCCTGGGGTCTCAGAGATGGGGTCTGTGGAGCAGTGACGCCGCGCAAGGAGTCACTCCCTGGGGCCCTTTCCCCTCACTGAGTGGATCTTGAGCTCTTGAGAAAACAATGTGGCCTCCCTAGATGCAAGTGGTGGGGACACCCTTTTGCCCTCTTTGTAAATTAGGAGTTTGACAAAAGGTTTTTTTTTTTTTTAAATCACCTATGGCTGGAAATGTTGCATAGCTAGCTGATAGCCTAATCCATTATTTGAACGGACCCAGTGTTTCCACAGCCTGCACTCCTAGTCTAAATTTCAGTAAAGCAGCAACTACCACTTATTGGTAATTTACTATGTGCCAGATACTTTAATACTTTGGATCATTTAATCTAATGCTCATAGTAACTGCAAAGTTGCAGTTCCTATCACCACTTTATACATGAGGCAAAGGGAGGTCACTTGCTGAAAGTCACAAAGGCAAGTGGTAGATCTCGGAATTGCTCCGAAGTCTCTCAGAATCTAAAGGCTGTCATTCTTCTCCTCGCATTCAGTATCACCAAGTGTCATTCCGAGTATTACCCCTTGGATGGCAGTCACACGCACAGAAGACATGGGTGTGACTTCATTTCGTATCAGGTGTTCTTTGTTTCAGGTGGTATTTTAGGAGTGTGCTTGGACATTTCTTTGTTGTATTCTCCTACCTCTTTACTTCCATCTTGTGATTAGTTGTATTTGTGTGGCTCATTTACCTTCTTGTCATCCATTTTATTCCCCATGGGGAACAAAACAGAAACATGGATGATGGCTTTGCATGTTTCTCCAGTATGCAGCATGCAGGCAGGAGCATGGCTGAATTCTTACTCCCCTGGGGTCTTTGGCTGCTATAGTAGCTGTTATTAGTGACAGTGGCCAAAAGCATGACTCTGTTACCTTGATACTGCATTGTTACCTTTGCCCCTCTTTAGAAGAAATGTTCATGTAGGGAAACAGCCTGGTTGATAAAATCAGAATGTTTGGAGATCCCCAGACAAAGACAGTCTAAATGATGTCATTCCATAGTGACAGTGCTGATCACATTAGGTGACAGGGAGATCATCTTCCTTGCAACCATAAAGAATGAGAATTGTGATTGTGGGAAATAGATGTGAAGCAGGTGTCACCTTGTTCAGTCATGTCATAGGCTTGCCTGTGTGTGACTTTAAGGGTAGAGCTCATCTTGAAAATATTTATTTGTCTTCTTGTTATTGATACTATAAGAATATTTGGCTATATATAGGCTATTAGTATTTCTTCAGTTTAGGCTCCCAATACAAGAATTTGCTACATGTGAACTTTGAGAAATTATGCTAGACTGAAATCATATGTAGATTAAAATTTCAATGCTGAGTATTGTTAAGTGTTCTTATTGTCAGCTTAAAGGGAACTAAGCAGCATTGCCTTCCCTTTTAAGCCACTATTCTGACCAAGTACATTAAATTTTGGTTGGGGATGCTGGTGAAAATTTGTGGTAATTTTTTTTCTTTTCTGAATACAAAATTTAGGATAAGATTTAAAATTGAATTAGTTGTAATATGACTTTAAAAGCAACCTAATTTCCCTTTTAATAAAAGCATTCTTTATTTATTTATTTTTTTGCTGAAAGTTTATATTCACTATACTAAGGCAGGAAATATTAGTGGGCAAATATCCACATCATGTTGTCAATGTCAGTATAAGGGGACATGTTACCAGGCAGTCAGAATTACTTTCCTGTTTCCTACCTCTGCTGGCCTCTGATCCACCCCACTGCCTTCTGGATCAGGTTGGCAGAGGTTGTGAGGAGCACAAGTCCATGCTGTTGCTTCTTCTCTGTTCATGTGGAGGAGCATCTGTGAGGCTAAACTTCTGAGCAGCTGAACCTTAGCTTTGGATATGCAGGAGCCATCACCCCTGCTGATGAGGGTTTCCAGATATGTGAAACCACTTGTGATAATAACACACAGATGACAGCAGCCTGACAGTTGCTGAGCACTCATTCCGTGTGCCAGGCTGCATCCTAATAAGCACTTTAGAAGCATTTTTCATTTAACCCTCAAAAAAACCTCTGTGAGTTACTTACCATCCTAATTCCCATGTTACTTATGTAGAAGTCTCAGAGAAGATAAATAACTTATTTAAGGTCATACAATTAGTAATCAGGTCAGAGCCAAGACTCAAAGAACCATAGATCTCTCTGAATCCAGAGCTCTTAACTGCTACTTTAGAGACTTGAATTTGGAGACCATTCTTTGGTATAGAATTTGGGGGAATTTCAGATTCCTTGGCTAATTCTCTATCACACACTTTGCCATTTGCTTTACAGGCAAGAACTGTCAGACTGTATTGGCTCCTTGTTCCCCAAACCCTTGTGAGAATGCTGCTGTTTGCAAAGAGGCACCAAATTTTGAGAGTTACACCTGCCTGTGTGCTCCTGGCTGGCAAGGTAACAACATGAGGGTGGAGACACCAAGAGCTTCAAACAAAGTGATCAGGTCACCAGATGACCTTGGTTTTCTGAAGCCATCTCCTTGTCAAGAACACAGGCCTTGTCCAAGAGCTGCTAACTGGAATGACTTATTTCCATTTGGCATGTCTTTGGGGCCGCCTAGTGGCTGAAGACTCCAACATGAGTCTGAAAGCATAATGTTCTATAGGGAATTTTAGCACCTGGGCAGCAACTTGTCGGAGGCACAGAATCCTTAAAAGACATCCCAAAGCAGGAGACCAGCCAGAACATTCTTAAAGAAACCCCATCCACCCAAGCTGAAGCTCAGGCCCCACATAAATTTCTGTGGGAATCAGCTTCCAAAGACTGAATCTTTCAGTGCCTCTATGTTTTTAGGTCAACGGTGTACAATTGACATTGACGAGTGTGTCTCCAAGCCCTGCATGAACCATGGTCTCTGCCATAACACCCAGGGCAGCTACATGTGTGAGTGCCCTCCAGGCTTCAGTGGGATGGACTGTGAGGAGGACATTGATGACTGCCTTGCCAGTGAGTATACCAGCCAATTCCTAGGCCCCCTGAGGGACAGGGAAGCACATAGGGAGCAGAGAAGGGCTCAGTGGAGGCAGCTGCCATCAGTGCTGAGACTGGCCATGGCAATGTTTTATCACATATCTTTAATATTAGTATTTAAAAGATCTTTTGAAGCTAGTGCTTTAGGAGTTGAGGCAATGGAATCTCTTTTAAGCATTCAGTTCCTGATTTTTGTACATTAACGAAGTGGGGACAATGCTATAATAGTTTTTTTTTATGAAAGAGCAGATCTATTGGATATAATTAACATACAGTACTCCACCATTATTTTAAATGTACAATTCAATAATTTTTGACATATGACAACTGAAACTATCACTCAAGATAATGATCATATCCATCCCCCTAATTATATTCTCATCTCTTTTGTAATCTAACCCTCCTTTCCACTCCTCTGTCCCAGACAACCAGGAGTATATCTCTGTTCCAGTAAATTTGTTTGCATTTTTTGTAAGTTTATATAAACTTATTATATGATTTCCAATCATATAATGCAAACTCTTTTTGGGAAAAGGGAATATGACTTCTCTTATTTAGCATATTATTTGAGACTCATCCATGTTGTGTGCATTAATAGTTCATTCTGTTTTATTGCTGAGTAGTATTCCATTGTTTGGATAGACTAGTTCACTAGCAGAACATTTGGCATTTTTGCAGTTTTGGGGAATTACAAATAAAGCTGCTGTGAGTAAGTCTGTGCAGACATGTGATTTAATTTCTCTTGAGTAAATATCTAGGGGTGGAATAGATGAATTGTGTGGTAGGTATATGTTTAACTTTTTACAAAGTTGCCAAAATGTTTTCCAAAGTGGTTATACCATTTTCATTCCCACAAATGTGGTATGAAACTTCAGTTGAACCTCATCCTCAGAAACACTTTGTATGATTACTTATTTTAATTTTAGCCATTCTGGTGTGTGTGTGTGGTATTTACACAGTGGTTTTAAACTTGCATTATTAATGTTGGTCAGCTTTTCATGTACTTATTAGCCAGCTGTATATCTTATCTGATGTCATATCTATTCAAATCTTCTGCCCATTTGAAGAGTTGGATTGTCTTATTATTTATTTGAAAGTTCTTTATATTCTACATACAAATTCTTTGTCAGGTATTTGCTTTATACCTGTATTCTACCAACTTTTAGCTTCTGTTTTGACTTTCTTTTGAAGAGGAAGAGTTTGATTTTGATAAAATTCAATATATCTTTAATTTGCTTTAGTTCATACTCCTTATATCTTCTTAAACAAATCTTTGCTATGGTCACTGAGGTTTATCTCCTTCGATGTCTTCTAAAAATTATGCTTTAGGCACTGACCTTTATTTAGGTTCATGATCTATTTTAAGTCAACTTTTATATATAGTATGAGTTTTAAAGGTTTTAAAGGGTAATTTTGTTTAGTAGTTTTGCTAAACTCATTAATTCTAGATTAGCTTCTAGTTTAGAGTCCTAGGATTTTTTGCAGAGATAATCATATTATTCCTAAATAAATACAAGTGCTGTAACTTTTATTGCTTCTCAAATCTGTATGCATTTTATTTATTTATTTATTTTTGCAATTTTGTATTGAGTATGACCTTCAGTAAATGCAGAATAGAAATGGTGAGAGAAGCCAATTCCTACCTTGTTCTTGATTCTGCGGTAGAAGCATGTAGTCTTTTGCCACTAAGTGTAATGTTACCCAGAGGTTTCTTGGTAGACGCCTTCTATCAAACTGAGGAACTTACCATGTACTCCTAGTTTGCTAGGAGTTTTTTTTCCTTTTTATAATGGATGAATATTGATTTTTCTCAAGTAATTTTTCTGTATCAATGAGGTGGTAATAACCATTTTTTTTGGTCTTTTAATAAAAATGTATTATGTTAATTTATTTTCAAATGTTAAACTAACTTTAAATTCCTGGGGTAAATTCTGCTTTGTCATGATGTATTATCTCTCTCATATATTATTGGATATGATTTTCCAAAATTTTGTTCATGAGGGATATTGTTCTCTAATTTTCCTGTACTACATTTTATAATTTTGGTAAGAGAGCAATGCTAGCCTCATATAACAGACTGGGAGTTAATCCCTTTCTATTTTCCAAAAGAGTTTGTGTAGAATTGGTTTATTTCTACTAAATATAGAGGCCTAGAAACATTTTTCTTTTGGTGAATATTTTTAACTATAACTTTAATGCCTTTAAGTATATACAATGCTATTGAGGGTATCTATTTCATTTTTATTGAGCTTTGGTAATTTGTATTTTTCAATGATTGAGTTTTACTTTAGGTTGTCATAATTATTGGCATAGAGTCCTTCATAAAATTCCCTTATTTGTACTTTTACTGTTTATAAGATCTGTGCTGATTTCCCTTCTCTCATTTCAGATATTGGTAGTTTGTGTCTTCTTTCATTGATTTTAGTAATCTTTTTTAGTGAACCCATTTTTAGTTTCATTATTTTTTACAATTATTTTACTACATTTTATTTCATTGATTTCTGCTGTTTATTCTTTTCATTGCCTACCTTGGATTTAGTTTGTCCTTCCATTCCAGTTTCTTAAGATAGAAGCTTAGGTCATTAACTTTATTTCTCTCTACATTTCTAACATAAGCATTTCATGCTATATATTTTTCCTCAAAACACTGCTTTAGCTATATTTCACAAATTTTGATATGTCATGGTTTTTTTCATTCAGGTTAAAATACTTCCTAATTTCCTTCTTGGTTTGTTCTTTGACTCATAGATTATTTAGAAGTGTGTTCTGTGGTTTCCAAATATCTTCTGTTGCTGATTCCTTCCAGAGAGCTTTTGTTACTGATTTCTAGTTTAATTCCATTGTGATCTGAGAACATACTCTTCATGATTTGAATTTAAAAAGCATGTCTTATGGTCTAGTGTATAGTCTGTTTTGGTAAATGCTCTGTGTGGACTTGAAAAGAATGTCTGTGTGTTGCTATCTGGTGGAGTGTTCTATAAATTTATTAGTTTGTGTTGGTTAACTGTATTTTAGGTCTTCCATATCCTCCCTGATTTTCTACTTATTCTATAAATTATTGACAGAGGGATATTGAAATCTCCCACTATCATTATGTATCTGTCTATTTCTCCTTCCACTTCTATCAGTTTTTGCTTAATGTATTTTGAATCTCTGATATTAAGCACACATGCATTTAGAATTGTTATGTTCTCTTGAAGAATCAAGTCCTTTGTCATGAAATAACCTTCTTTAATCCTGGTACTATCCCTTGTTCTGAAGTTTGCCTTGCCTAATATTAATATAGCTTCCTGGCTTTCTTTTGATTATTGTAAAGGTATATATTTTTTCCATCCTTTTATTTTTTTTACATCTTTGTCTTTAAAGTGGGTTTCTTATAGAATGCACATTGGGTCTTGCTTTTTTTCTCTGATATGACATATCTTCTAATTGGGGTGTTTACATCATTTAAATGTAACATGATTTTTTGTATGACTGGGTTCAATATTTGCCATCTTGTTATTTGTTCTATTTCCATTTCCCTCTTTTTTTGCTTTCTTTTGGAATAATTAAGTATTTTTTATAATTGCATTTTCTTCACTGGCATATTAGGTATATCTTTTTTTTTTGGTAGCTGTTGGGTTTACATTATGTGACTTTAACTCATTAAAACTTATCTTCAATGATACTGCTTTATATAGAGTATAAGAACCTTATAATATTTACACTCCTCCTGCCCTCTGTCCTGTTGTCATATAATGTATGTGCCATAAACCTCCCAGAATAGTATTTTTTGCTTTAAATGGCCAACTAATTTTTTTAATGTATTATTGCTATTTTTTTATTTGTTCATTTATTTATTTATTTATTTGTTCATTTATTTATTTATTTATTTGTTTGTTTGTTTATTTATTTAGGTATTATTAATGTACAATTACATGAAGAACATTATGTTTACTAGGCTCCCCCCTTCACCAAGTCCCCCCCACATACCCCTTCACAGTCACTGTCCAATGGCCAACTATTTTTTCAAGAAATTTGAAAAATAAATAAAAGGTCTTTATATTTATCTGCATATTTTTAATTCCTGGTGGTGTTCATTCTTTTGTGTAGATCTGTATTTCCATCAGATATATTTGCCTTCTGTCTAAAGAAATTCCTTTACTACTTCTTATAGTGCTTATCTCCTAAGCGATCAGTTCTTTCTGCTTTTGTACATCTTAAAAGGTTTTGGTTTTGCCTTAGTTTTCAAAGATATTTTCCGAGGGAATATACTTCTAAGTTGATTTTTCACACCAGTACTTTAAAATCATCCATCTGTTGTTTTCTACCTTGCATCATTTCTGAGGAGAAATCTGCTGTAATTCTAATATTTGTTTCTTTATATGTTATTTTCTCTACTATGGCTGCTTTTAGGATATTCTCTTCCTGCTGATTCCTAGCAATTTGATCTTTGATGCCCTTTATTGTAGTGTCATGTTTCTTCTGCTCTTTCTTCGCTTCATTGACCCTTTTCAGTATGTGGCTACAAATTTGGGAAATAGTTAATCACTATTTTTTCAAAACGTTTTTGCCTCGCATTTACAACTTTAATTATACACCTCTTAGGTTGTCTGAAGTTGTTCCTCTGTTCACCAATGCTCTATTTCACTTACTTTTACTATTTGAAGGTATTTTGCCATATTTTCAACTTCACCTGTCATTTTCTCTGTAGTGTTTCGTTTGCTGTTAATTCCATTCAGTATATTTTTCCCCTTCAGACATTTATTTTTATCTTAGAAGTTTTATTTGAGTCTTTATAAACTTGTCTCTGTCCTTGTCACGTTCATGCTTTCTTCTACTTCTTGAACATATGGAGTATATTTAGAATGGTTGTTTTATTTTCCACATACTTATTCTACCATATGGAGAATTCCTGGGTCCATTTCTATTGATGATTTTTCTCCTCCCTCACAAGTTGTATTTCCTGCTGCTTTGCCTGCCTGGTAATTTTTGACCAGATGCTAGGCTTAAAAAATCTTCGAGACATTTTCAAACTTTGTTTAGGGATTATTTGGAAACAGTTTGATATTTTTGAGTCTTTTTTTCAAAGTTTATTGGGTGGGTCCAGAACAGCCATTAGTCTTGGGCTGAAATGGCTCATTACTGGGACTTTACTCTTTTAAGTCTGTACTCAGTGCCACACAAGTTAGGAAGTCTTTTCATTCTGACTGGCCTGAACATCAGCTGTTCTCAGCCTGCTGTAGACTCTGGAGATTGTTCCACTTGCTTCTTCTTGGTGGTTCTCTAGAGGTCCAGCTTCAGTAGGTCCATCACACACACACACACACTTATTAGCACTCAGTTACTTGTGTGATGACTGAATCATTAAGCTTCTGATGAAGTTATCACAGTGCATTAAGAATAATGACACCTTAATTCACAGCATAGATGCTTTCAGGTTGTCATATGGATGGCACCAGACTAGGTCCTGGCAGTGAAACAATAAATAAAACCCAGCCTTCACGTTTATGAAACACATAGTTTATTAGGAAAGACATGTAGACAAATAACATCAATATTGTGTGACAGTGAAAAAAATATGTCCAAGGTACAATTGAGGGAGAAATTTAAGGGGGTAGAATCAAATATTTAGATTCCTTTCCCACATTAATTAGTATATTAGCCTAAATCTTCAGTATTTAACATTTTTTCCTATTTAAAGTCATACTTTTGCAATATGTATGGTTAGTTTAAATTAATTCAGTAAGTTATGGTGAGTTTCATAAAAAGTGCTATGGAAATTGTAGTAGCTGTGTGCTGTGTACTGTGAACAACAAGGGATAATACGTTTTTTACAGTTGCTTCAGTAGAGATTGCAGATGAGCTTTAGAATGCAAGGAGCCTAATAGACAAAGAAGGTATATTAAATATCTCTCTTATAAGATAGGGGCTACATTACCCACCTGGTGTCTATTTTTCTTTTTATGTTTATGGCCTGTCTTTGCAATTATATTTTAAGGTCAGTAAGAGCAGGAGCTACATCTTGTTTTTCTTGTTCTGATCTGTGTGTCAGTCTATACTGCAGAGGACTGTACCAAGATAATAATTTATTATTATCAAATCAAAATTTGTTGATTAATTGCTGTGAGTGTAAAGTGTTCAAAAACTCTGCTCTATTTAAACTATATTTAAAGTAAAAATCTGATTCTCAATTCTACCTGAATCTAAAAGACAAAAAAACAAAAAAGAGAGGAAAAAAGGGAAGAAGGGAGGGAAAAGAAAGAAAGAAAGATCAGCACAGGGGCTGATTAATATATATTCTGATCTGCCCCACCTACTCCACCACCACATGCACCTTTTGAAAATATTTGCTGATATTCTAAGATTCTGTATGTTGGGGACACATATTTAATTTGCTAATGTGTGTGGGGTCAATGCAAGTTTTATGACCCCATAATCTTGTAAAACTGTTAGTGGTGTACATAAAGTTCACTTATTAAACAGGTTAAGAATCTCAGGCAAGTGTTACTATAGTCACTTTCATAAATGGAGGAATCAGAGCAACATAGACATAAAGAAAAGTACAAGCACAGAAAAATCTGAATATTTACTTTTCTTAGTGTGACTCAGTTCAGGTTACTCATTTTTATCAGTGTAAGGTTAAATTGGCGCTGCTGTTCAGAGCTCTGATTCTTGCATGTAATGGCTTAGATCCCTGCCAGAATGGAGCTTCCTGTGTAGATGGAGTGAACACTTTCTCCTGCCTGTGCCTTCCGGGCTTCACTGGGGATAAGTGTCAGACAGACATGAATGAGTGTCTGAGTGAACCCTGCAAGAATGGAGGGACCTGCTCCGACTACGTCAACAGTTACACTTGCAAGTGCCAGGTGGGGTTTGATGGAGTCCACTGTGAGAACAACATCGACGAGTGCACTGAGAGGTGAGCAACCCCTGCTCTCAGCTACCAGTGTCTTTACGGTAAAAGGTAGAAAGGAGTGAAAACTACAGAGTACATTCCTGGGATTGCTCCACCAGCACCTCCTATTGCCCAGTTCTTGATTCCTTGTAGACATGTAGTTCACAGGCTAAAGGTCAGAGGCTGAAAAGCTCATACGGTGGATCATCATTTATTTCTTGTGTAGGAAACAGAAAGAACTATAATTCTGTCCCATTCTCCTCTTGGTCTCTTGTTCATTTCAGGTGGCAATCTAAAATCACCTATTTCTTTGCAGATTTGTCATCAGCCTTTAAGTAATTTCAGGGAGGTTTGCTTCTTTTTATTGTTACCAACAAGTTTCTCTTTATCAACAAGTCCTATTTCTCTTTCTAAAGGAGTCTTGAGTCAAGAGCTATATATTTATCATTTTTTTTTTACAAATTAAATTGACTTAGGGATAAAATGAAATATCATACATGGAAAACTATAGGACTGGGTAAAACCTGGAGACCTTCACTTTCTCTGGGAATCTGTAGTAAGCTCAGTCTTTTACATACTCCTCTGTATTTTTTGGTTGTGGAAAGGAAACTGGGACTCAAGCTGATTGGCACCCAGTCTAGTTTGGGAATAAGAAAATTTTACTGGATATTAGAGTTAGGGGGGCTCAGAAGTATTTGTGCCTGTAATATCTTAGAGTCCAGAAACCTTACTTCTTGGGCAGAGGAATCAGGCTCCGTGGCTGATGTTGTTTCCCCGTTTGTGTCTTAGCTCCTGTTTCAATGGTGGCACATGTGTCGATGGGGTTAACTCCTTCTCCTGCTTGTGCCCCGTGGGTTTCACTGGTCCCTTTTGCGTCCATGAGATCAATGAATGCAACTCTCATCCATGCCTGAATGAGGGAATATGTGTTGATGGCCTGGGTATCTACCGTTGCACCTGCCCCTTGGGCTACACTGGAAAAAACTGTCAGGTAATTAAATTCTGTCCCACTCACTCAGCTTCCTCTAGACATAATCATGATATAGGGAATAACTTAACCTATTGGGCCTCCTCAAGTTCTTACAGTTCTGTAGTAAGAACTTTTTAAATAGCAGGTTTTAAATAGAGGAATTAGACTTTTTAATATTAGACTTTTTAAATAGAGGAATTAGACTATATGAAATGATTAGATTACCTGGGAACACGGTCTATCTTAAGGCTTAGATGAAGGCTCTTATTTTATTTTTGGATTAATTAATGAGCTTTTCTTTGATTTCCTAAAACACAATGTAACTTATTGTCTTTGTTTCTGGTATTTGGATGTTGCTGTATATGTACGCCTCTGTTTCAGACCCTGGTGAACCTCTGTAGTCGGTCTCCATGTAAAAACAAAGGTACTTGCATTCAGGAAAAAGCAGAGTCCCGGTGCCTCTGTCCGTCTGGATGGGCAGGTGCTTACTGTGACGTGCCCGATGTCTCCTGTGAGGTGGCAGCCTCCCGCAGAGGTGAGCTCCTCCCCTAAGGCTCAAGGACCATTCCCCCAAGTATAGACTGACCAGTGGCATTTCAGGGCGTGTATTGTTACTGTGGGAGGAGAGGAAAGGGGAGTCGGTAGTGGATGGGCAAGGCTCTAGAGAAACAGTCTGAGATGGGAGGTGAAAGGGCAGAGGAACAGGTGGAGAGATTCCAAAAAGAAATGCATTTGAAATGAAGCAAAGACATATTCTACTTTCAGGGCTTGCATGTTTTCAGTGTATGTAAACCTGGTGCTGAGGATTGTGAATGAGACAAGAATAAGATTTTAGGTGTCAGTGGCTTAGATTAGTTTGTTCATTCGCTGGTATGAACCGGATGTGTCATATACTCTTCTGTGATGTTTCCTCCTCCACGGGGTTTCACAGGGGTGTCCACGGACCGCCTGTGCCAGCACTCAGGCATCTGTATCAACGCGGGCAACTCACATCACTGCCAGTGCCCCCTGGGCTACACCGGGAGCTACTGTGAGGAGCAGCTTGATGAGTGCTTGTCCAACCCCTGCCGGCACGGAGCCACCTGCAGGGGTTCCACTGGTGGATACAGGTGTGAGGTGAGAGGGATGAGCAGCAGAAGTCGGAGACCTCCCAGAGCCTGGCACCACTGTTGGGAGCACTATTATTGATTTGGCTGTTGAGGTCTTATTTTACAATTTCTAGATTGTTTTACCAGTCACCATTACACTATTACTAATCACTGTTTCCTTCAGTCCCATTGTGCAATAAGTTAACATACCTCTTGCAAGATATTTTTGTAAAGGTCTGGAACCATCGCCCTTCCACAGGGTTGCCTCCAGGATTCAAAGCTAGAGTGTATTTCACAGGCCTACCCAACTCAGTGGACCCTGGTACTTCCCAGAACAGCAGCTGAGGGAGAAGAAACTGCTTTGAGGAGTGTTCCTCTGACTCGTGCCATTTTCGTGTGCAGTCATTGATCAATCAACTAAAAATTCTCTCAAAAAGAATGTTGCTCAGCCTATTCCATGTGGCACCATACTAAGTGCTACCTGTGTATGTTTGAGGAATTGTGTGTCTTTTAAGGGACGTGTCACTGTCTCCTTAATGCCTAAACTGATAATGGTTAGAACAAGATGTTAACAAAACACCAGATACATGAATTTGATACCAATTCAGGCCACCCAGCAACACTGAGAAGAGCTTTGTTTCTGTATTTCTCATAAAGAAGTCAAAGATGGCCCCTGTGTATTGGCCCGTAGGTTATTTATTTCTTCACAACAGGCTGCAATCTGTCAGCTCAAAAGCCACCAGTGCCAAACTTAAATTTTTGCACATCCAATTGTTTTAAATAGATTTTTAGCCTGTTTTGTATATTCTGCACAACTGCTCCCAATATCTAGTAGCCATAGTTAAGCCCAGGGCATAAAGACCCCAAGCTCCTGCTGCTCTCAGAGCTCCTGGCTGCTGAGTGACATCACCAAACATGTAAGCCCCTCTCTGCTACCCCCTTCCCTTGGAGTTCGTTTGTACTCCTCCCCTTACCCTCCTCCCTGACTGTGGACAAGCTTATGCTGTAAGGGACTTCCCCCACTTGCACCATGTCAAAGCTTTGCCCAGATAAAGCCACCTCATGGCCAACTTCTTTTTCCTGGATTAGCCCTGAAATCTCTCAAACCCCTTCATTTACCTCACTAGCTTAGCCCACTTCCCCCTGCCCTCACCCCCATCTCAACCAGTTTCTCACACACAAAAGAGTTCTGTGAACCTGGAGATCAATAAATGCAATGCCTTTGCTACCATCCACACATACCGTTTGACTGAGTCACAGGGTCCTCATCACATACAAAGGAACTCATTTTAAAGATGGGAAAACTGCACACAGGATGAATGAAAGTTCTCACAGGGGTCATATCTGAAATACCCCTCAGATTACTCAGTCCTTTACCTTCCCTTTAAGTGCCTGTTTTAGCTGGAAGATGAAAATTCTGGTAAGCTGCAGACTGACTCAGCACAGGATGATTAGTAGGTGTGGTGATGCTGGAGAGGGGTACAGGAGCTGGGGGGGGCGTGGAGGGTCACATTAATGTTCCAGATCTCATTTGCTCCCATGCTGTTTCCAGCAGTGGTCCAACATTTGTTGTCCTTTTTGCCTTGTCCTATCAGTGTGTCCCAGGATATCAGGGCGTCAACTGCGAGTACGAAGTGGATGAGTGCCAGAATCAGCCGTGCCAGAATGGAGGCACCTGTATCGACCTTGTGAACCATTTCAAGTGCTCCTGCCCACCAGGCACTCGGGGTATGAAATCAGCCTTACCCATTCTCTGGCCAGGGCCCTCTCTGTTATAAACCCATCTTCAGTGTTAGGGGGATTTTAAAAAGTCACGCCTTTAGTTCTGAATCCTGGTAATTCAAGCCATTTCATTCTCTTATCTCTTGCTTACCTCTGATGCTCTACCTCATGTTCTCAGTTCTGTCTGTTTGTTGTTGAATCTTATGTTCCACAAAACACAGAATGTGGAAATGACATAATATTGCAACAAAATTGGCCTAGTTAGCAGGATTTCTTGATGCTTTAAAGGAAAGCACCTAGTGGCCTCTTGAATGAATAAATTCACATTTACCTGCTTATGTATTCCTCTGTAAGGTAGGGGAATGAATGAGATGAAAACACTTGTCTGTGTTCATAAGCCCAGGGGAGGAGGCTGATGACCCAAGGCTGTAATTAAGAACTGCAATAAAGCCTAATGAGATATAACCCTAGACTGTGAATGGTGGGACCATCATTCTGTTATGGACATTGCTCCTGCCTCCTAACAATCTCCTGGAAAGAGCTTGGAGTATTTCATGTTAGAAGAGAGGTAGTTATAATGGTACCTGCTCTGAGTAGCATGTGAAAAAAATGTAAGTCATCCACAATGGTGGGAAGTTTCATCTCAGTGTCAAAGAGAATAGAATGCTAGGGAGGCATTTATTATTGTCTTAGACCTTTATGTCAGTGACTTTTGATAACTTCCTTGAGTTCGGAGTTTGGCTAAATTAGCACAGAAGAGTACCCCACATACAGGCTGATATACAATGAGAATAAGAAGAGAAAACTAGGGCAGAACAGCCTTTAAATATTTGAAGATTTGTCCTATGACTCATTATTGGTTCATTCCTTTGAGCTGTTATACTGTTTAGGACAGTGGTAGAAAATTAAACCTCAAATCTCCATAGCTTCACACAACAGTGTTTTTTTCTGTTTTTTTGTGTGTGTATTTTTTTGTATCATTAATGTACAATCACACAAGCAACATTATAGTTGCTAGACTCTCCCCATTATCAAGTCCCTACCACATACCCCATTACAGTCACTGTCCATCAGCATAGTAAGATGCTATAGAATTACTACTTGTGTTCTCTGTGTTATACTGCCTTCCCTGTGCCACACCTCCTACATTATGCATGCTAATCGTAATACCCCCTTTGCCCCCTTATCCCTCCCTTCCCACCTGTACTCCTCAGTCCCTTTCCTTTTGTAAGTGTTAGTCCATTCTTGGGTTCTCTGAGTCTGCTGCTGTTTTGTTCCTTCAGTTTTTTGTTTGTTCTGATACTCCACAGATGAGTGAAATCATTTGATACTTGTCTTTCTCCACCTGGCGTATTTCACTGAGCATAATATCCTCTAGCTCCATCCATGTTGTTGCAAATGGTAGGATTTGTTTTCTTCTTATGGCTGAATAATATTCCATTGTGTATATGCACCACATCTTCTTTATCCATTCATCTACTGATGGACACTTAGATTGCTTCCATTTCTTGGCTATTGTAAATAGTGCTGCAATAAACATAGGGCTGCATATGTCTTTTTCAAACTGGGCTGCTGCGTTCTTTGGGTAAATTCTTAGGAGTGGAATCCCTGGGTCAAATGGTATTCCTATTTTTAGTGTTTTGAGGAACCTCCATACTACTTTCCACAATTGTTGAACTAATGTACATTCGCACCAGCAGTGTAGGAAGGTTTCTCTTTCTCCACATCCTCGCCAACATTTGTTGTTGTTTGTCTTTTGGATGGTGGCCATCCTGACTGGTATGAGGTGATATCTCATTGTGGTTTTAATTTGCATTTCTCTGTTGATTAGCTATGTGGAGCATCTTTCCATATGCCTGTTGGTCATCTGAATTCCTTCTTTGGAGAAGTGTCTGTTCAACTCCTCTGCCCACTTTTTAATTGGCTTATTTGCTTTTTGTTTGTTGAGGTACATGAGCTCTTTATGTATTTTGGATGTCAACCCTTTATCAGATATGTCATTTATGAATATATTCTCCCATACTGTAGGATGCCTTTTTGTTCTATTGATGGTGTCCTTTGCTGTACAGAAGCTTTTCAGCTTGATATAGTCCCACTTGTTCATTTTTGCTTTTGTTTCCCTTGCCCAGGGAGATATGTTCATGAAGAAGTTGCTCATGTTTATGTCCAAGAGATTTTTGCCTATGTTTTTTTCTGAGAGTTTTATGGTTTTATGACTTACATTCAGATCTTTGATCCTTTTCGAGTTTACTTTTGTATATGGGATTAGACAATGGTCCAGTTTCATTTTCTCACATGTAGTTTTGCCAACACCAGCTGTTGAAGAAGCTGTCATTTCCCCATTGTATATCCATGGCTCCTTTATCATATATTAATTGACCTTAAATGTTTGGGTTAATATCTGGTCTCTCTATTCTGTTCCACAGGTCTATGGGTCTATTCTGGTTTTTGTGTTTTGTTTTGTTCTGGTCACCCAAATAAAGTCTGGGCATGTTGGGCTACCTCTCTAGATATTTTAGGTATATGTAGGCCTCCAAGGCCGCCATAGCAGGATAGAAGAGACAGACTTGTAGGATCATGTAAAAGCTCTCACTATCTCATGTGGAAGTGACACCAATCACTATTGCTCATAATATATTGGCAAGAATTAGGAAGATGGTCTCAACTTGACTGCAGAAGAGGCTGGGAAATGTGGGAGGGCACACAGATATTCACTGCACACTAAAATCTCTGCTATACCACAACCTTTTTATAAATTAGAGATGTCAGTCCTAGAGTGGACCCTTTCCTATGGCAACAGAATTTCTCTCTTCTAACCATTTGTTAAAGATGGCTTAGACAATAGTTTTGCTGTTGTTATTGACAGTCTTTTTTTTTTCCACTTTGAGTAAATCATCCCATTGCTTTTTGACCTCATGTTTGTTTGTTTGCTTGTTTGTTTGTTTAGTGAGAGATCAGTGGTTAACCTTATTGAGGACCCCTTGTATGTGATAAGTTGCTTCTCTGTTGGTATTTTCAAAATTCTCTTTGTTTCTGCCTTTGCCTGACAGTTTGGTTATGATGTGTGGATGTGGGTCTCTTTGAGTTTATCATATTTACAATTCATTGAGTTGTTTCAACTCAAAATTTAGTTCCACTTCTTACTAATATTTTTACATACTTGTAATTTATATATTTATTGTTATATTCTCTTTGAACTATTTTATATTTTGAATTAAAATGAATAAACTAATGAAAACTTACCGAGTCTCTCTAGAGCCCCAGTTCCCTCATCTCCCAGGTGGGACAAATAATACCGGCTGCTCCATAGGGAACTGCTTCCCGGGTTGTATGGGAGAGCACATGTGCGGCCCTCAACAGATTCTTTCCTTTGCTCCTACCAGTCACCAGGAGAATGGCCACTGTCATGGATCAAGGATGTGCTTTGCCCTGCCTGACCTGAAAGGACTCACCACAGATAAAAGAGTATAACTTGATTGATTGCAAAGGTGTCTCTCCCTTACTGGAAAGCAGTGTTCCAAGGAGTGTCATAATTCCCCATCTCTGCTCTCTTTCCTCCAGGCCTGCTTTGTGAAGAGAACATTGATGACTGTGCCGGGGGCCCCCACTGCCTTAATGGTGGTCAGTGTGTGGATAGGATCGGGAGCTACAGCTGTCGCTGCTTGCCTGGCTTTGCTGGAGAGCGGTGTGAGGGGGACATCAATGAGTGCCTCTCCAACCCCTGCAGCTCTGAGGGCAGCCTGGACTGCATACAGCTCACCAACGACTACCTTTGTGTCTGCCGCAGTGCCTTCACTGGTGAGAGCCTCCCCAGCTTCCCAGCCCCTCTGGATGGAGGGGGCATTGAGTGAGGAAATTGGGCTCTGTGAGACATGCCCTAGACCCCAGGGAAGCTTTTCTTATATATGAAGAATTAGACCAGCTTAATTCAAGTGCCCGTTTTGTCCTTAGGACTGTGCTCCATGGATGTTATAATCAATCTCTACCTTTTATTTTTCCTGAGGAACAGTTTCTCTTTTGTTACATATTGATTATGTCATACCATAGCAGAAACATAAAAGAAGAAATAGGTGCTGGGAGTAGTTGAGCAAAATAAAATTTTTAAATTGTGGTAAAGTGCACATAATGTAAAGTTTAGCATCTTCACTGTTTTTAAGGACACACCATGCAGTGGCATTACACACACTCATATTGTTGTGCTGCTGTGACCACCATCCATCCACAGAACTCTTTCCATCTAAGCAAAATAACATCTTGTCTTTGGGACCTTATGTCCAGCTCTGGTTTCATCACCCTGCCTTCCTTCCTTGACATGTAATGACTTGAGTTACTGGGTGTCAATGACTACCTTCTTTCCACGCTGGAACCCAGAGAAGCTTAGGATCTTTTAGGTCACTGCAGGGGAGTAGGCCCCAAACTGGGGTGTGTTGAACCGAACGTCAGTTGATGAGGTGTGAATAGAAAGCTGCAGTGGTCCCAGGTGAGGCCGACGCAGCTAGCACATGGCCATGCTCCTATGGAGGCTTTTGTCCTCAAGGTCCTTGTTTTTTCTTAGATCATGAAGATGACCAGGTCCTACCTCAGAATAGGGCTTTATCATAAGCACCTACTACTTACTTCTAGAGAAGGGCAGGTGGTAACTTTTGGGGATTTAAATAGTTGTTTGTATCTACTTGTGGCAGTACTATCAGATACTCAGAAACCTGCCTGGCATTTCTGGAGTCATTCCCAGAGTCTTATACTGTAGTAGTATTCCTTGGGAGTTCAGATAAGAGGCTGCAGTAGTCTATTTAGATAATTTGGCAAGTTGGACTCTGCTACATGCTGAGCCCATCTCCAGACTTCCTTCCTTCCAATTTTAAAGATATGTTAACTTTCAGAACTTTGAATAAAGAATGGGAGGGATTTTGCAGAATGAAAGATGCCTGGATGCAATTTCAAAAGAGAAATAATCCATTATGCACATCACACCTACTGAAGCAGTGCTAGCCAGAAAGATATGAACGGTCCATCTTTTTAGCCACATATTAGCCACAATGTGCTTAGGAAGCCAGAAAGGCAAAGCTGGCTCCTGTTCCTGTCATTGCCTCTGAGGCCTCCTTTATCTGCCACATGGACAAGCACTTCCAAAGAAAGGGGTAAAGAGATGAAGGAAGGAGTAGAGAACACCTGGAATCTGGGTCACACAGCCAGGAAGTGGTGTTTGCACATTTTCCACACTTGTGAAAGTGAAAAAAGTCCTGGAGTCCATTCATGGTAATTATTGTGGGGTGCCGTTGCTGAGATGAACAATGAGGGACCTTCAGTCCCTGAGCCCTGTGTCCATGTGATGGCTACTTTCAGTGGCTCCTGCTGGGATTTGAAGAGACAAACATCAGGTAACTCTTGCCTCTTAATTCTGGCTAGCCAGCATGATTACTATTTTAATTTCCTTTTTAAAGCCACCTCTTCCTTTCTAAGTGACTGCCGGCTAAATGCGTCCTGTCTCCTGCTATTTGCCAAGAGGCCCCAGCTGTGCCTCCACATCTCCCCCATGATATTTCAGTTGCTTAGCTTACTATATCATGAAGTAGCAGCCTCAAAATGCCTCTGTTTTACATCTGTTTCTAGAGAAAACTCTGAGAAAATTGAGCTGTGTTTTAAAGCAATGTCAGTCAGGTCACAGAAAGGCTAGAAAATGTTTGAAAAGAGACATTGCATAGATTAAAATTCTCTAAAACTGCAAATCACCATTTAGATGTATTAGCCTGTTGTACCTTCCTCTGTGAAGTAGATGATGTTAACAAAATGCAGTGAACAGTTTTGCTAAGTGTTTCTTTTGAATTAGGAAAGTTAAAGCACCTTCAAAGAAAGCTGTGAGGTGTCATTGCCCCCATTTTTTTTTTCTTGGTGGGATTAGACTGCTTTTTCATATCCATCCTGTTTCTCGAGTCTGGGAATGTATGCCACCATTTATATTTATTGTGTAGGCAAGACAGACAGGCAGCTGGCCGGGACCAGTGATGGCTCAGCTGGGTTGTGACCCAGTGAGTCCTTCTTCATCTTCTTCTGTTCCCTAGGCTTAGAAGTGAACGTCATACCTCTTGCTCCGTCTGTAATCCTTTGGTAGATCATATCCTAGCAGTGTTCTGCTCGGTAACTGGCCATTACTGCTTCTGGCTTTTAAAACTCTTTTTCATTTTCTGCCTTGAGGTCGTCACTGTGAAACTTTCGTCGATGTGTGTCCCCAGATGCCTTGCCTGAATGGAGGGACTTGTGCTGTGGCCAGCAGCATGCCTGATGGTTTCATTTGTCGTTGTCCCCCGGTAAGTGCCTTGTGCCTATTTAAGAAGCACTCTTCCATGCAGTCTGTGACAAAGCTGAGATCAAACCTGGTTTTTCCAAGCTCTGTGGGGAACTTTCTTGGTGGGGAATCTTAATTTTAACTTCTTCAGAAGAAAGTGCTTGGGTTTTTCATTTAAAACCATTAAGATACTCCCGGAAGCAGTGAGCTCCCTAATCTGTGATGGCAAATCTTCAGAATCCCCAAGGGAAAACCACAAGAAGTGGTGGAATATCCCTTGAAAACAGGACTAGTGAGAGTCTCTAGCTTCTGGTTTCTGTAAAGGGTAGTCTGTCTGCCCAGACTGTGGCAGAGTTGGTTGGAAATGTCACTTAGCCATTTTAGTTTTTAAGTTTTAGCCACTTAAGTTTTAGCCAATTGCTGTGCAAACTTTTATCATAGCCAGAGGCTAAAATCTCCCCAAATCAGAAATCACTATGTGTGGAAAACATCTAATAACCTTAGCCTGGGCTGAGCAGGAAGTATTGAGTATGAACTTCACTCGTCTGTGCAGTATAAGAACAAAGAAAAAAACTGAAGGAACAAAACAGCAGCAGACTCACAGAAACCAAGAATAGACTAACAGTTACCAAAGGGAAAGGGACTGGGGAAGATGGGTGGGAAGGGAGGGATAAGGGGAAAAAGGAGCATTACGATTAGCAGACATAAATTGGGGGTCATGGGGAGGGCTGTACAACACAGAGAAGACAAGTAGTGATTCTATGCATCTTACTACGCCAATGGACAGTGACTGTAATGGGTATGGGGTTGGGACTTGATGACAGGGGGAGTCTAGTAACTGTAATGTTGCTCATGTAATTGTAGATTAATGATACCAAAAAAAAAAGAATGAACTGACATGGTAAACTTTTTTAGAGATCCAAAATTCCTGAAATGATTCCCCACCCCCGCCGTAAAGTCATTATATAAGTGATCTAATGATGGTTAGAGGAGGTACTTACAGATAGTGTCACCTGACTCTTATCCCACCATGACCTGTAGACTTAATTTCTAGAGGTGAGCTCTTAAAGTGAGAGAATTTTGCATTCATGCCATGGAACCTTCAGCCCTGATCTGTAGGTTGATTTGAAGTGGTCTTTTCCTAGAACTTGGTCCAGGAGACTACATGGAGGGATCTTAGCCAAGAGTCTAGGCCTTATTTCCCTAGAAGTGTGACAGAGAAGGAGTGGCAGGGAAAATGGGGCACACGCTTGAGAGTCGGCCTGCTGTCCTTATTTGTTCACTGCTTTCCACAGGGATTCTCGGGGGCAAAGTGCCAGAGCAGCTGTGGACAAGTGAAGTGTAGGAGAGGGGAGCAGTGTGTGCACACAGTCTCAGGACCTCGCTGCTTCTGCCCCAACCCTCAGGACTGCGCATCAGGCTGTGCCAGCAGCCCCTGCCAGCATGGGGGTAGCTGCTACCCTCAGCGCCAGCCTCCTTATTACTCTTGCCAGTGTTCTCCACCATTCTGGGGCAGCCACTGTGAACTTTACTCAGCCCCCACTAGCACCCCTCCTGCTACCTGTCTGAGCCAGTATTGCTCTGACAAAGCTCGAGATGGCGTCTGCGATGAGGCCTGCAACAGCCATGCCTGCCAATGGGATGGAGGTGACTGTTCCCTCACCATGGAGAACCCCTGGGCCAACTGTTCCTCCCCACTTGCCTGCTGGGATTACATCAACAACCAATGTGATGAGCTATGCAACACAGCTGAGTGCCTGTTTGACAACTTCGAATGCCAGGGGAACAGCAAGACGTGCAAGTAAGGGTCCAGGGTCCCCAGAAGCTGAGGGAGACTGTCACTAACACACCTTGGTTTCTTGTTCTCGCTCCTAACCACTCCGGTGCTTCAGCCCAAGCTGCCTCTGCTTTTCAGACTGGTGTCCTGAGTCCCTCTTCCTCCAGTGTCAGCCTTGTCCTGTCACATGCTATCCTGTGGTCTCCCTTGCTGACAATGGTCCAGGAATGCTCACTGCACAGCCACCCTCTCTGTGCCTCTCTCTGCCTTCTCATCTGCTGCTCTCGTGACCTCCTAGGGGAAATAATTTTTGGAAGTGTGTTACCCACTCTCAGGCAGCCTCTCACACAACCTGCCTGCAGGATGGATGGAAAGGTCTGTACCTCTGTCTTCACCCCATTCCTTTCCCTAAGACTGGGCTTCCCCATCTAAATATATCAAGAGGCATTAACTAGAGTAGGCCCCTTAAGCCTCCTGGGCTTTATTGTTGCAGTTAGAAGGTGTTTTATGGCTTACACAGGAACTTCCCTTGTAGCCACCCCATTTAATTTACTCCAATTAATTCTCAGCAACCTTGTGAGGCATAGGCATTGTTAATGGTGTTTTGCAGATGAGGGAACTGAGGCCCAGGAGGTTAAAGCACTTAACAACTGTTCCTGACCCCAAATCTCTTCACTGTGCTAGCCTGGCAAGTCGTACCAAATGGTGTGACCCACAGTGGGTAGGAGTGGGAGAAGAGGGGAGATGAAATGGCTTGAGCATTATTTAGGTTTGGAACTCCAGTGACCTTTTCCCAGCATTTGAAAGAGGCTGTCCAAGTTAGATCTGGTGTCCTGTATGGAACACAGCCTTCACTGCCTACTTCCACAGTTGGAATTCAGTTTTGACTGGGAAAGAAATGGGCTATGTGGACATGGTCCTCTGTAGAACAACTCTTGGTATTTAGGGCTACATGTCTGGGTTTAGAGGGCACCTCTAGAGGCACCATTCACTCTCACTGTTGGTACCTCCCCAGGGCAGTGGAGAGCAGAACAGAGGAAGCATGAACTAGGCTGGTTTTGTTACAGGTGTGCAGGTTTGTTTCCAAGTCTGACTTAGCAAGGTTATGGCTGCAGGGAGCCTGTAAGCCCACACAGCACAGGGAGCACAGTGCTGGTTGTCACTCGAGGAGCCCTCCCTGGGGTGGAGTGGCATAGACTACATGTACTCTAGGATATCGGGATAGGAGAGTCAAGGAGGCGTCAAAGGACATCTGGGGCCTAGCTTGGGCCACAGAAGGCGGGTAGAGAGCCCACAGTCTTTCCAAGTGGAGACCCAAGCAGAACTGCGCTGGAGCCCCTTTCTCACTCTCTCCCCACTCTGCCTCCCCTGCGCAGGTATGACAAGTACTGCGCAGACCATTACAACGACAACCACTGTGACCAGGGGTGCAACAGCGAGGAGTGTGGCTGGGATGGGCTGGACTGTGCAGCTGACCAGCCAGAGAACCTGGCAGAGGGCACCCTGGTTATCGTGGTGCTCATGCCACCCGAACAGCTGCTCCAGGACGCCCGCAGCTTCTTGCGGGCACTGGGCACCCTGCTGCACACCAACCTACGCATTAAGCGGGACTCCCAGGGCCGCCTCATGGTCTACCCCTACTATGGCGAGAGGTCTGCTGCCATGAAGGAGCAGAGGATGGCACGCAGGTCCCTCCCTGGCGATCAAGAACAGGAGGTGGCTGGGTAGGTTTTTGGGTTCTGAACTTCCTAAAGCTCAGTTTTATAGAGCTGAGCACTTTGATATGCAGAGGTCATAACTGAACTTATAATAATTGCAAAGTGCAGACAAATATAAGAGCCCACCAAGCACAACAGTCCCATTATCCCAGTACTCGAGTTTAAGGGGAAAGGTTTGCCTAGATCTTGGATCCTGAAGGTGGGCTGGAGCAAGCAGGTAGCAGGATGTAGGAAGGCCTTCTCACATGCTAGAATCTCTAACCTTTTGCCTCATATCCCTTTAGCAGTGGCTCCTTTTTTGTGTCAATCATTGCCTTATTTTCACGGCCATTTATAATGTAAGTCTTTTTGACAAGGGTAATACTCTACAATTGTTTTTTTCATTCATACCCTCTATTTGTTTATCCCACAACTTTCAGCTCCATATCTAGCTGAGTTACAGATGCAGAGACAAAGGAGAATAAGGATAACAAATATGGAAGGGTATAATTCTAGAGTGCTAATACATACCACTGAGTCTGTAGGAAGGGGTGGAAGGGCGTGAAGATCAGCTTTCCCTCGTTTTCTCACTTGGTCTTGCATTGCCTGTGTCAGAAGCCAGATCAAGGAAGGGGAGACACTCTGTAAGTAGGAGTCAGTGTCTGGGGTCTAGAGAGACAGTGTTTCTGAGGTCTTCCTGGAGGCAGCGTCACAGAGGCGGGGAGGATGGTGAGGAAGGAAGGCTCCTGCTCGGCAGGTGACTCATTTTCTAACTCAGCTTGCTTGACTGGCAGCCTTCTGTTTTACTCAACATTTCCCTTTTCTCTCTTCTCCCATGCCACCCCACAGTACTAAGGTATTTCTGGAAATCGACAACCGCCAGTGTGTTCAAGATTCAGACCAGTGCTTCAAAAACACGGATGCAGCCGCAGCTCTTCTGGCCTCCCATGCCATCCAGGGGACACTGTCATACCCTCTGGTGTCTGTTGTCAGTAAGTAGTGCTGGTATGGGGGGCACCACCTGGGGGCAGAGAGTAAATGGCACACTTCTCAGTGTGCAGTTCTCTATTTTTCAGGGCTGCTGAGGTCAGCACTGCCCTCTCAATGAATTTGATGCTAATATTGAGAGGTTGATGTTTTTATTCGGCGCATTCTGTCTCTGTACTTTCAGGCGAATCCCTGACCCCCAAACGCACTCAGCTTCTCTACCTTCTTGCTGTTGCTGTTGTCATTATACTGTTTATTATCCTGCTGGGGGTCATCATGGCGAAACGAAAGCGTAAGCATGGCTCTCTCTGGCTGCCGGAAGGTTTTACTCTTCGCCGAGACTCCAGCAATCACAAGCGACGTGAGCCGGTGGGACAGGATGCCGTGGGGCTAAAGTAAGAGGCTTTGCCAACAAGCTGCTTTTCATGGTAGTAATAAGCAGGAGTAAATCAGAAAGCAGAGCTCTTGTCCTGCCGCATTGTCCCATTAGAGCATGATGCTCACCCAGTGCCTTCAGCGAGACTGTTAAATAACTCTCAGAGTCTGGATGCCTCTATTCTGCACGTATTGTTGCAGTGGTGCTCAGCTTCTGTGTTAAGGCACACTTTTATTGTTAAGTTCTTGATCAACAGAGAAAGGATGTTTACTCAAGCAGTAAGATGTAAAGATTGTCCATTCTTTCTGGGCCAAGGCCCCAAAAATATGAGTATAGTCATGAGAGTGTGTCATGGTGGAAAAAGTATTGAAAAACATTATATTAGTCTTGTGACTAACCTTTGCTCTTGTTTTTCTGCTTCATAATCCTGTCATATCAGAAATCTCTCAGTGCAAGTCTCAGAGGCTAACCTAATTGGTTCTGGAACAAATGAACATTGGGTTGATGATGAAGGGCCCCAGGCAAAGAAAGCCAAGGTAAGCTGCCATGGGAGGACCCCTACTGTCAGGCATTATCTGGTCACATTTCAGATTTCTGTCGGTGTCTAGAGTATCCTGAATGGAAGGAAAGGGTGATAGTCTTCGTCTGTTGCCCAGGCAGCGGCTCTCCAAGGTCGTTATGAAAGGTTAAGTCATTGATTGACCTTAGGTTACTTACATATATTTTTCAATGAGAGCTCTTTAAAAATAATAAAATAATAAAACAAATGTATTTCCTTCCTCCAGTGTCATGCTAATGGTAGTCCAGTGAGGACTGATATATATAGATAGCAATTTCCTTCATGGCTAGAGCCCCACTTCTCTCTGGGTGCTCCTTGCCTTCTGGAAGGGAAGGTGAAATCAAGCAGGTAAGAAAGCCAGTGACCACTGAATTTGGAAGCTTTGCATCTTCAACCCAGGAAACTAAAACCACATAGAGTGACAGGTAGACTGGGCTGAGGCTGCTGTGAAGGAGACCACCCATCCATAGCTCTTCATGGCTGGGATATGCACAGATCCCGTGGGTATCCGAGATTAGCTCAAAGAAACAAATGCTTGAGGAATACAGGCATGAATAATATAGCATGATGGCTGAAGCATGGCATTAGTTACAATCGGAACTAGATTCAAGTCCAAAACTCTGCCACTTAGTAGCTGGCAAATTTACTTAACTTCTTTGCACTTAATTATCCTTATCTGTACAATAAGGATAATATAATTCTTCCTCTGCGAGGATTAAATTCAATACTATATATAAAATGCCTTACTATCACTAAATATTCAATCAAGGATATCTGTTTTTTAAATTACAATAATAATTTTTGATCAACAAATATTTCCTGAATGTTGCTATGTATTAGGTACTGTGTTAAGTACAGAGAGGCATCTTGAACAAGGCTTGTTGCCTCTCCTCAAGAACCCTACCACCTAGTCATAGAGCATGCTGAAGTGCCACATAAGCATTTAATGCAGAGTGGGTTAAGTAGAGGTAAGTGGAGTGTACTTTTTAAGAGCAACAAGAGAAATTAAAGTCCAGTTTCTGTTTGAAGGATAGGCAGAAGTTAGTCAAAGAATTGGGAGAGGCCATGGCATGCAGAGAAGCAAGCAAAAGCCTAGAAGCAAGAAATGGTGCTTTAGGGAATCTAGAGATAGCATATTAGGTAGGTAATGTCAGCGGCATATTAAGGCTGAAGCTTAGAGGCTGGGAAGGGGAGGCTGGGAGAATTGTACAGATGATGCAGGAGAGGTAAACAGGAGCCACATGATGATAGCAGTGGGAAACCGGTGTGGGTGATCATCTGGATGGTTCGACTAGGAGGAGAGAAAACATTGGGTGGAAGATTAGGAGACATGCTGGGAGACTCTGGACTAGCTCCTGTCCACAGTCCCTGGCGGTGGGCCAAACTGAGGTGGGGAGTTGTCTTCTCCTTTCAGGCTGAAGATGAGGCTTTACTCTCGGAAGAGGATGACCCCGTCGATCGACGTCCATGGACACAGCAGCACCTGGAAGCTGCGGATATCCGTAGGACACCATCACTGGCTCTCACTCCTCCGCAGGCAGAGCAGGAGGTGGATGTGCTGGACGTGAACGTCCGTGGCCCAGGTCAGCACCTGCCAGCCTCCCCTTAGCACCAGGCCATGCCTTCCCTTGGCTCTGCATTGTAGCCCCTATGTTTGCCCTGCTTGGCAATAGGCCCCCTGCCAATTTCAGACTCTAAATCAGCTTGAGGGAAGGAATGCTTATGGAGTACAGGCATGCAGAAATTATGAATTTACATGAGAAGGAAAGGAAGGATTTCACATTGCTTCATATACAGCATGCCTGAGAACAAATAGGCTGATTTTATGGGTTAGATTTTAGTAGGATAGAAAATAATATCCCAAAGCAGAGGGATAGATAATTAATTTAGTTGATACTGTACTGCATTCAGTTCTATTAATATTGGGTATTCTTAAATGTCCAACTTAAAATAACATAGCACATAGAAACTTGAACAGAAAAGCTTGCTTTAACTTAAAGAGGAACACCCACATTAAAAAACTCTTACTTTCTCATTACTCTTTACAAAAAGGACATTAACAGAGGAAAAGTAGATAAATATAAATGTAAATCTAATTGCCAATTACAACAGTAAGCAGAGAGATTTTTTTTCCCATAAGAGTTAACTTCACTCAAATTGAACTGTTTTAACAACAGGGCTGATGGAACATTATTAATGCCCTCCTCCTTGAATACTTCTTGGGATTTTTCTTTCCTCTAGATGGGTGCACTCCACTGATGCTGGCTTCTCTCCGAGGAGGCAGCTCAGATATGAGTGATGAAGAAGAAGATACAGAGGACTCTTCTGCCAACATCATCACAGACTTGGTCTACCAGGGAGCCAGTCTCCAGGCCCAGACAGACCGGACTGGTGAGATGGCCCTGCACCTTGCAGCCCGCTACTCGAGGGCTGATGCTGCCAAGCGTCTCCTGGATGCAGGTGCTGATGCCAATGCCCAGGACAACATGGGCCGCTGCCCTCTCCATGCTGCAGTGGCAGCTGACGCCCAGGGTGTCTTTCAGGTAAAGAACATTGATCTTTGTTAAGGCACTTAATATCTCATTACATTCATTCAATAATTCTTTGAGAGAGTAGACAGATGGTGTAGAGTCATGCTTGCTAGACGGGAAACAGGAAAAGGAAGGCAGACAAACCAACCTAACTATGTACAACCAGTCAGTGGCAGAGCCAATAGCAGATAACACCAGTCTCCAGATCCTGAATCACTGTTCCTTCTGATAGGCCAAAACGCCTCCCAGCGTAACAGGAGTGATACCTACTTTGAAGCCTTTGACTAGTATTAGCTTCTTGCTCCAGATTTATCTGACCATGTGGGATTCTAGCTGCTCCTTGGTAGTTTTTTTGGCATGAGTTGACAGTGTACTCCTTGACACCCTTTTATTTTACCTGTGTGAGGAAATTGGAAGCATTCTGAATCATGTTAAACTGTATACCATAATTGAGGTTGTGATGTTTTCCTACATCCCTCTTCTTTCTTTAGAAAGGAAAAGTATGTCACTTTACATGAGCTGTTGTCTTTGAGTACCCATTTGTTGTACATTCATTCAACAGATATTTATTGATTGACCGTGGTTGAGTCCTGGGCACAAAGATAACAAGACATTCCCTGCCTCCTAGGAACTTCCACTAGAGCCTCAGCTTTGATGTTCTTATTTCTTCCCTTCACTTCATTATCTTCTTTTATCTTCATTATCTTTTTCTATACTTTCTTCTCTTTTAGATTCTGATCCGCAACCGAGTAACTGATCTAGATGCCAGAATGAATGACGGCACTACGCCCCTGATCCTGGCTGCCCGCCTGGCTGTAGAAGGGATGGTGGCAGAACTGATCAACTGCCAAGCAGATGTGAATGCAGTGGATGACCATGGTAGGGACGCAAGGCAGGATCCAGATTCTGGCCTGCAAAGCATGTCTCTAAGGGGGAGAATTGTGACATGACCCTTGGAGAATTGCCTCAGATCTGAACCCACTGAAGATTCTTTCATTCATTCATTCTTCCTTTAACATACTGAGTTGAGAGAACTGAGCCATTGGGAAACCGTGGATAAGGATGGGAAGGGATTTTTAATAAGAGTTCTTAGAACTCACTGCAGGTCTATGAAGGGCTTGCCTGTGTGGGTACCCAGGCATACTCCTCTGGGTCTAAGGACTTCTGAGAGCTGACTTCACTAGGAGATCGTGAGATATCCTGAATAGCGTTCAGCCATGTGATATATAAGTAGGTTATTGTCCTTTCTGTGGACAGGGTAGAGTCTGCCATTTGGAGGATGTGGATACCATAGAAAAATGACCCTTTATGTGGAGGTCTTCTGAAGGCTAGGCAGCTTGTACTGGAGTATTTCTAGAACAGAGGAAAAGGAAGATAATACTTATATTTCTCCTGTGGGCTCCCACAGAGAACTGGCTTCCTGCTGCTCTCTGGGAAGTTCAAGGTTTCCTTGTACAAGTCATGAAGCTTCCTTATAGTAGGAGAAGAACATGTCCTTCTGCTGTCTGATTATAACAATGCTTTTCCCTGCAGGAAAATCTGCTCTTCATTGGGCAGCTGCTGTCAATAATGTGGAGGCAACCCTTTTGCTGTTGAAAAATGGGGCCAACCGAGACATGCAGGACAACAAGGTACAAGCCGGGCTCTGAGCTGAGGGGGCAGGCATAGCTGCACCGCGGGGTCTGAGGCCTTCCCTTTCCTCCCGTAGCTCGTCTTGGAATAGGTTTAGACAAAGATGGAAGTGGCCTTGAGGGGAACTCGGTCCAGAGAGCTGGAGGGAAGGGTCTTGGGTCTCTTCAGGCCAGAGTGAGGATCGAGCCCTCTGCCTGCTCAGCTCTCAGTCTGAAGCAGGCTGTCCTGTGAAGGGCTGTGGTGTCTCCTTCTCTGCTCTTTGCTTCCTTGACACCTCCCTTTTCCCTGTTCCCTGCTCTGTTCATGCTCACTTCTTTTTCTATTATTTTCATTGTTTTTCCTGCTGCTCTTATTTCTGTTCTTGGACACCATGATATTTTCCTGTTTGCTTTTCTTTCTCTAAATTTCATGCCATGCTTCCCTCTCTGGTTCATCCTATCTTCTCTCACGTATTTCCTCTTTTCCTTTATTTTAGTTCTTACTTGTGCCTGTTGTTTCTTCTTTCTTTTACTTGCCCTTATCTTACCAAGTTCTTACTTACCTCAGGTTCTTCTCCTCCTGCCTTTCTAATTTCTAACTCTTTTTCCTCTTAGAATCCTATTTTGATAAACTTGGTGCCCTGTTAAGTAAATCTCTGGCTCAGGAGCATGCTTTATTTCACATATTCCCAATTTAGGAGATACCTCCCCCAGTGGGCTGAAATTAGCTCTTAGGGGGAATAAAACAGTCTTACTCTTTTTATGTATAAAGCACAGATATCCATTCAGTACACAGATATACAGTTTATATGTGGTATTAAATTTTTATGTTAGGGAATGGTTCAGAAAAAAATGTCTGAAAGGAGATGATAATAACAAAAAGATTGAGAAACACTGCTGTGTTCTCAAGAATGCTCTGTGTGGGCCTTTTCTATAGGAAGAGACACCTCTGTTTCTTGCTGCCCGGGAGGGGAGCTATGAAGCAGCCAAGATCCTGTTGGAGCATTTTGCCAATCGAGACATCACAGACCACATGGATCGACTCCCCAGGGACGTGGCTCGGGACCGCATGCACCATGACATTGTGCGCCTCCTGGACGAGTACAATGTGGCACCGAGCCCTCCAGGCACCGTGCTGACTTCTGCCCTCTCACCTGTCATCTGCGGGCCCAACAGACCTTTCCTCAGTCTGAAGCACACCCCAATGGGCAAGAAGCCTAGACGGCCCAATGCCAAAAGTGCTATGCCCACTAGCCTCCCTAACCTTGCCAAGGAGGCCAAGGAGGCCAAGGGTAGTAGGAGGAAGAAGTCTCTGAGTGACAAGGGCCAGCTGTCTGAGAGCTCAGTGACTCTGTCCCCCGTTGACTCCCTGGAGTCTCCTCACACATACGTTTCTGACACCACATCCTCTCCACTGATCACATCACCTGGAATCTTACAGGCCTCCCCCAACCCTATGCTGGCCACTGCTGCCCCCGCTGCCCCGGTCCATGCACAGCATGCCCTCTCCTTCTCCAGCCTTCATGAGATGCAGCCTTTGGCTCCTGGGGCCAGCACCATGCTGCCCTCTGTGAGCCAGCTGCTGTCCCACCGCCACATTGTCCCCCCAGGCAGCGGCAGCGCCGGGAGCTTGGGGCGGCTCCATCCCGTCCCTGTCCCAGCGGATTGGATGAGCCACATGGAGATGAATGAGACCCAGTACAATGAGATGTTTGGTGTGGTCCTGGCTCCAGCCGAGGGCACCCACCCTGGTGCAGCTTCCCAGAGCAGGCCACCCGAAGGGAAGCATCTGGCCGCCCCTCGGGAGCCCTTGCCCCCCATCGTGACCTTCCAGCTGATCCCCAAGGGCAGCATTGCCCAACCAGCTGGGGCTCCCCAGCCTCAGTCCAACTGCCCTCCCACTGTTGCAGGCCCTCTGCCCACCATGTACCAGATTCCAGAAATGGCTCGTGTGCCCAGTATGGCTTTCCCCACCGCCATGATGCCCCAGCAGGACGGGCAGGTCGCTCAGACCATTCTCCCAGCCTATCACCCTTTCCCAGCCTCTGTGGGCAAGTATCCCACGCCCCCTTCCCAGCACAGTTATGCTTCCTCAAATGCTGCCGAGCGAACGCCCGGTCACAGTGGCCACCTGCAGGGCGAGCATCCCTACCTGACTCCGTCCCCAGAATCTCCTGACCAGTGGTCGAGCTCGTCGCCCCACTCCGCTTCTGACTGGTCAGATGTGACCACCAGCCCTACCCCTGGGGCAGCTGGAGGAGGCCAGCGGGGACCCGGAGCACACATGTCTGAGCCACCGCGCAGCAACATGCAGGTTTACGCATGAGGGAGTCTGCCGCCCGTGTGGGGTCAGAGCTGCCTGCTGTACTTGCTGCTGAGGAGCAAATGAAGGTCATCCGGGAGAGAAATGAAGAAATCTCTGCAACCAGCTCTGGAGGCAGGAGGCAAGGGGTTGTCTAACCTTTTAGGTGATGCAAAGGAAGCAATTTTTTCAGCTTCCCTGGGTATTTGCAAGGGTTTTTTCGAAGAGGGACATGGCTCCTTCTAATCTCTTGCCCATCAAGCCAAGTTCATTGAAATGCAAGACAAATACAAGACTCGGAACCACGTTTACTCTCCTCTGTGTGGAGGCGAGGACGGATGCCTGGTATAGCCACGGTGGTCTTGGAGCTCAGGCTGCGCTTTAAGCCCTGAGGGCTTCTGCCTCACCCATGAGAAGATTCTGCAGTGGAGTCCTTTTGGGAGTTGTGCCCTGGAATTCTGCCTGAGTTGACTCACCTGTCTCATCTTCTCATCCTTGGAAATACTTTTGACTTCATTTGGTGCTTTAATTTTTGCACCTCCCTGTGTGGTCATGGACCCACCACGTCACAGGGCAGGACTTCTGTGCCGTCAATCATTCCTGCTGTGGAAAGCAACTCCAGCTGCCTTTTGCCCTCCTGTCTCCCCAGGGTCCCTAGGAGTCTCACAGTTTTCTTAGGTTATGGTTCTCAGCACAAATCTTTCAAGTGTATTTCTTTAGAAAATAGACACATTGCATTCTCCTACATGACAGTCATTCCCAGAAGAGGAAGGGGAGCAAAATATTTTTCTAGAACCCACTTTGGGGAACAAGAGACTCCTTCAAGAGGCTGCACCTTAATTCTCTTGCCTGCACACAGGCTTCATATAAACCTTATCAGGAAGAAGGATAAGTATCAAAGCGGTGGTTATTCCATTTGTGGGCTTACTCAGTGTGAGGTTTATCTGGCAGCATAGGCACCATGCCCTCCCTTAAAAAGAAAGAAAACTGAACAGACGAAGATTCAGGATGCTGGGGGAATGGCCGAGAGATGAGCCAGTGTAAGAAGCGGCTGCGCCCTGGTGAGCCCCTCCCCTTCCTGCCGGTGTGAGACACGTGCGATCCTGGGACTCAGAGCCCTCAGCCTGCCGCTCTCACCCCCAGCAGAGGAAGCCAGTCTTAGCTGTTAAACCCTTCCTTCCACATATCGCCACAGGAGAAAACGTCTCAAAGGATATTCCCTCAGTTTAGAACTGAACTTTCATCAGCTCGAGGGACCTCGTGACATTTGTCTTTCTTGGGTCCGGAGGTCAGTCTCTACCTCTGATTCTCTTTCTGATCGCAAGCCAGTGCACCAGTCTTCCCTCCATCCTGCATGGTCTGAGTTACTGGTGCACCCAGTAGGTCCTCACTGAACACATGGACTGTCTGTGTTCAAATGCGGGAAGTAGAAAGTGGGCCTAGTTTTCTAGGGTCCAGTACAGCCCTCTTAGAAGGTTAGAAAGGGAGGAATTATGAGTCAGCCGTTGCTATTTTTTGCCACCATTTTCTCCTTTGAAGCAGTTGTGACATTCCCTTTTAGGCAATTAATGTAGAAACTGAGTGGGGATGTTTTCTTTTCCTGGAGTCACTTTCTAGGTGATAATGGACAATCACAGACTCACTGTCTTTGTCATCCTCATGTTCAGATTGTGCTTGTGTCTTACCTGAGTTTGCTATCTTGATTTGTGGTCTTGTCAAGGGCAGAAGCTTTCTAGTCAACACTAGAAATAGGAAAAAGATACGTGTCTTCCTCTTCTCCCAGAGTCAGCATACAATTGGTCCTGTGGCCACGCTGTCACTTCTGCCCAGTGCTGGGGTGTCAGAGGCACCTGGAACGTGTTTGCTCTGCCAGTGCATTGTTCAGATGTTAATAGGCCCACCGCCTACCCTGCTCGGGTCGGATTAATAGTCCTCACTCCTGCCATGGCTGGGGGCGCGTGTCCTGGCTTCACACCTCCCTGATTTGTATCTGCAGTCCCATTAGGAAAACTTGTGTGTCTGTTAGTGAGGCGGTCTGCAAATGGCTTTTCAGTCCTGCCCACGTTCATTGAGCCAACAAAAGCAATCAGTTGTGCCCTGATATAAGCGGATTGTTCATTCTATGTTCCCTCACATGGCAACTCTGTCAGCCTTCTTCATAGCGTGTAGCATTTTATCTTTCTAAATGGAGACTCTTAACCCCTGGCCCCACCTGTTAATTCACACATGGGGAGAACCTATCCACAGTGCCCAGTGTGGCCCCCGCAACATCTGCCCCTCACTGTCATTCTGTCCCAGCCCCACTTCCCCAAAGATTGGGATCCAGCAGCCTGGGATTACGGCCTCCTGCTGCCCCAAGCACAGTGCGAGCCTGACCTGCTTGTCTCTCCTTGGGGTCCTTTGGGTTCAGGGAAGGGAATGTGAAAGCTGCCATTACAGACAACAGGCTTCAATGAGAAGGAGGAAGACACTCCCTTGCGAGCATTTATCAGTCTCTTAGATTTTAAGAACCCTTGAGTTGTATAGTATCTAAAAAAAAGAGGGTGAAACAGAGAATCACTTTCTCATCTGGGTTCTGAACTGGAGACTGTGCTCCTATGGGACGCATCTTTCATGTCATGTATAGGCCCTCACCCCCATTTTTGGTTTACTTCACTTTTATAAATTTTTCCTTTGACTCCTGTCCACCTTTGGGATTCATTTTTAAAATTTGTTTCTTCTGTGTTGTGTTAAGCATCGTTTTCTGACTTATGTGACAGTGAGGCAGGGAGAGATGTGAAGGAGAGACTGAGAACTAAAGATTTTAATGTAAGCAATCAGCTGTGATGCTTAAGGCCATATATCATCTTATTATTAAATTTGCAAGTTCATAACTCTTGAGCAGAGAACCAAAGGTGTACTGTATGTTGGCAGGTGGTTTGGGGCTTTGGCCTTAAGCAGTTCACTGACTGTAGGTGCCTGTGCGGGAGGACGCGTTCACCTGCCCTGAGGCCCCCTGGTGACTGTGTGCTACTTGGCTCCTTCCTTGTGTACGTTTCTCTTAAAAGTGATACTATATCTGTTTGTATGAGAGACCCAATAACCAATAGAATGACCGCATATTCCTAACTATACATAGTAAGGAAAATGCACACTTTGTTTTTACTTTTCGAAGTTTCCTTCTTAAAGTAGGTAAGATGAAATTTATATAAAAGCATTTTTATGACAAAATAAAAAAAGATTACATGTCAAGCTTGATGGCATAGCAGTTTTTATTTTCCATTCCTATATCCCTGGTCTTGCAATGATTTATCTCACAATGTCATTATTTGCTGAGAGAGAAATCATTTGCTTTTCATTCTGAATACCACAAAGCCTAGGCATTTCTTCCCTTTCTCCAGGCAAATCACAAATAAGTGCTGCTGAGGAGAAAGCGTCTGTCCAATAGGAAGCATCACAAGATGGAGTCACATCTCTGTGCACTCCCTGGGGACATAGGCCATACTCAGGACAAAGCGCCCTCAGATGGAAGTGGAAGGCGTTGGTGAGCCAGAATGGACAACTGGGGCTTAACTAATATTGCCAATGGTGCTATACCCTAAACTACCAGTTTGCAGTATTATGACTCAAATTAAACTTTGTATAGAACTAAATGTGTACAACTATAAAAGTATTTTGCACATCAACATGTCAGCACATTTTTTCTGTATGTTACTAGCTTCGCAGAAACTTCTGAGTCGTGCACAGGTAATTCTAAATGGTAGTGGTACTTTTTAAAATGATTTGGCTTGAAATCTCAGGATATGTTTCAGTTAAACAGAGGAAGGAGCCTTATTCAAGATCTGCACACACATTTTCACACAACAGGCGGCACATATTGGCTGTCCTGAACTTGTTATAATTTTATATAAAACACATTGCGTTTTCCCGTTACATTTTGTAATGGTGTAAAGAGGAAATCATTTGAGAGCTAAGGAATGGTTCTCCCAAGTCTGGACCTCTGCAGCCTGGCCTCTTGGAGCTGGAGTTGCCTTTTCAGACTATTTGGGAACTCAAACCTGCTCCATGGAAACCTGCTTCAGGGGATCTGGACTGTAGCCCCTGGTCTGCTCACCACATCCTAGCCCTGCAATCGCAAGCTTACATACCTAGCCCTTGACCCAGCAGGGAGGACCCAGGGTTCTTGCAGCCATGAAATCCGAGGAGGGAGAGCAGGGCTGGAGATTGAGGGCTGCCGCATCACATGCAGCAGGAACAATGGACTTGGACACAAGGCCGTGGCCTTGCCAGGAAAGGTACTGGTGCCTCAGCCACGCAGCTAAAAAGCCTCACAGCCCCAGGAGAGGGGTTCCTCTTTGAGAATGTGATGAATACAGCAACTGCCCTTAATGTCTGCACACTGTCCAGGATGTGATGGGCAATGGGGGAGCTGCACACCTGTCACTGCCTGATAAACACTGCTCCACAGGTTGTGAGAGTGGAAGACTCTTCTAATATTTCTTGCCATGTGGGTCTGCTGGTGACAATGTCCTTCAGCATTTGTATGTTGGTAAATGTCATCCTTCACCTTCAGTTTTGAAAGGCTTTTTAGGGGAGGAGGCATAGAATTCCCCATCAACTGTCCCACCTCCACCCCTGACCCCAGTTCTTTTAAGATGTTGCTCCACTGTCTTCTCACTCTCACTGCTTCTGATGAGAAATCTTGACATAATCCTCACTTTTTTCTGTATTTATCGTCTCTTTCTTCTGGCTGCTTTTTAGACTTTATACCTTTTTCAGTGAATTTGAGTTTAATTCTCTTGTGAGTGGGTGTGGTTTTCTTCATGATTTTTTGTGCTCAGGGTTCATTTGGCTCCTTGGATCAGTGGGTTTATAATTTGCATTATGACTGGAAAATTTGCTGCCATTGTTTCTTCAAAAATTGTTTCTTCTCCATGGTCTCTTCATGGACGTCAATTACTCACATATTAGACCTTTTAAAGTTGCCTTACCATTCACTGACACGATGTTCAATTAAAAAACATTTTTTTTTTTTTTTTACTGTGAGTTTCATTTTGGGTATTTTCAATTGTTCAGGCTTTATGTTCCCTAATCTTTTTTTTTTTTTTTCCTGCAGTGTCTAATCTGCTGTAATTCTATCTGGTGAATTTATTATCTCAGATCTTCGAGTTTCCATCTCTAAAGTTGGATTCCGGCCATTTATGTATGTTCCATATTTCTACTTAACTCTTTGGACATATATAACACAGTTGTAATAATTATTTTAAAGTCCCCCCTGCAAATTTTAACATCCTGTCAGTTCTGCTTCAGTTTGGTTGATCATTCCTCTCATTATGGGGCATGCTTTCCCACCTATTTGCATGCCTTGGATGCCAGACACTGTAAATGTTTACCTTCTTGGGTACTGGCTATTTGATATTCCTATAAATCTTCTTGAGTGTTGTTCTGAGATACAGTTAATTAACTAGTAAACAGTTTAATCTTTTTGGATCTTGCTTTTATGTTTTGTTTTGTTTTGTTTTGTTTTAGGTGGTTCAGGAGCAGTTCTCATTCAAGGGTTGATTATTTCTTACTACTGAAGCAGTGTGAACTGTGAATAGTTCCCAGCCTAACTGGTGGGAGTAGGCACTATTTCCTGCCCTATGTGAATACCAGGCCCTGTTCCATAATCTCTTCAGATATTTCTTTCCCTGGCCTCACGCAATTTCTTTGCAAGCATGAGCTCACTGATCAGTACTCTGCTGAATGCTAGAAATGGAACCTCTCCATATTCCTGGGTTCTCTCTCTACCCAGCTCTCTCCTCACTGGTTCTTTGTCCCAAGACCTGTGGTTGTTCCTCCCCTCTCTGACACTCGGCCTCAGCTTCTCGATGCAGTCTCTTCAACTGCCTCAGATCCCTCCCTTGTGCCTAGTCTGGAAACAGTTCTTCTGACAAAGCTGGGGCCATCACACAAGGCTCACCTTGTTGGTCGCTGTCTCATAGGTTTGCTACCCTTTGTTGCCTGATGTCCAGGTCTTGAAAAGCATAATTTCATGTATATTATCTCTTTCTTTTTGTTCTTGTTTTGAGTGAGAGTGACTTCAGGTGAGTGGGTAAATCTAGTTCTATTACTCCACCTCTGTTAGAAGCTGCTTCTCTTTGTATTTTCTTAGTTTGACCTCATGAGGAAGTGTGCCAATTTATATTCCAATGCATTTTTCTAATGCAATGAGACTGTTTTTCTTCATACTTTTGCCAGCACACCAAAATTTCTATACGTCTATCTGATACTCTTAGCATGGGCAGTGCTGCCTTCCTGACTCAACTATGACAGAAAGACATGTGGGCACTATCCAGAGATACCCTGTTGTGTGCTGTTCAGCAACTAAACTTCCAGGATGTTTAGGAAGTCTTCCAACTAATTGGGTCCAGAGAAGAATGGCCAGAGTGACCTCTCTGATAGTTTCCTGCCAAGCCATTTATCCAGTGGGATAAAAAACCGGCTGGTCCCCGACATTTGATCCTCCTCTCTTTTCTTTATAAATTGTATTCTTGCCTTTGTTGGATGCAAACAATCTAACATCCGTTCTCCTTCCTATATGACAGTAAACTAGAATGCTGACAACTGACTCAGTATTTTTCCATGCCAGTGTTTAATTATTTCTGCAAAAATGATCAACTTACACAATTCACAGGAGCCAATAGAATGCCATACCTGACAATGCCCCTTGTGCGGACCAGGATCCTTAGGCCCATGTTCCATTGGTCGTCCTGCTGAATCTCATGAGTAAAAATGAGAGTTTTGGCTTTTACACATTAAATCTTGTCCTTTTATTTAATATCTGTCTATATCTATCTATCTATCTATCTATCTATCTATCTATCTATCTATCTATCTATCTATCATCTATCTGTCCTCTTTGTACATGTACAATTCTTTCTTTCCATCAGTAACATCAGTGTGTGGGGTTGTGGTTTTGATATATGAAATGAACTTCTTTTGATGAACTTGGTTAGTGGTTGACAGAGATCCATTCAGTTAGGTGATAGGTGACAAACCGATGTAGCCAGTATGAATTCCTCCAAGTCAGTACCTGTGTGCTCCTGACATGTCCACATTAGTCTTTGAGCATCTTATTGATTTATAGCACAGCTATATTTTCCAGGATCTTATTTTTTATACAGCCAGACCTAGGATCAGCCATTTCTCAAAATCCCTGGGTCATTATAGTGGTTATTGATATTTAGAAACCAAAATCTGGGTGTTAGTTGTTCTCAGCGATATGGTATCTTTGTCTCTCAGCAATAAAAGCATCAGGACATCAGAACCTTCCCCATGACATTTTTTATTCTTCTGTCACAGTGAGGACACCAATTTCCACAGCAGCAGCATATTTATGCATTTGTTCTTGCTTGTAATAAACACTTCCCCATGACATTTTTTATTCTTCTGTCACAGTGAGGACACCAATTTCCACAGCAGCAGCATATTTATGCATTTGTTCTTGCTTGTAATAAACCTAAATGATTTTCAGAATTGCTCCACAATACTATTACCAACCAAAAAATTTCGATTCAACTGTAAGATTTCTTTGAAGCCCCTAGAGGTCATGCCACTAGGTGTGTATAGGTAGAGCGTTGCTTTTAAAGATCACCAGGGGGACATTTGTTTCCAATTAGGATGTAAAAATTGCAAGAAAATACCACTTCTGCCCTAACCATGAGAAAAATCTAGATGAGCTGAAAGCCACCAGAGAGCCAGAATGCAAAGAAAGTAAAGTGAACTGGATTCCAGGAAGTGACAAGCCCATTCCATCAAAGAAGAGATCTGTGACTGTTTTTATCTCCTGTGAACTGATGGAATTAGAGGGAGTCTGCAATAGAGGTGAGTACACGAAAATCAGCCACATCTTTAACAAAGTTTTAATGGCAACATTTTGGATTAGAATCCCAAGAAGCTCCCATTACAGATCAAGTCAGTACCCATCTATCCACTTTTCTCACAGGCATTTTTATGGGGTGAATTGTATCCCCCCACTTCCCCCACAACCAAATTCATGCATTGAAGTCCTTGCTCCCAGGACCTTAGAGTACGGTACCTGTTTTTGGAGATAGGGCCTTTAAAACGGTAATTAAGCTCAAACAAGGCTGTAATGCTGGGCTTCAATCCAATCTGACTGGTGTCCTTATCAAAAGGGAATATTAGGACACAGGGAGAGAGACACCAGGGTGCTCCTTGTACAGCAAAAGGTTTTGTGAGGAGAGAGTAAA